GCAACGCACTTGCGAGTCGGCCGATGAATTGCAGACCATTGATCGGGCACAAATTGAAGGTCGAACGTGCAGGGAACCCCGCCGCGGTGAGCCGTAGCATGAATGAGGCCGACCCCCGGCAGGCGACTCCCTGCGGTCGACCAGCAAAACGCGCAGGCCACTCAGTCCACGAGACCTATAGATTTTTCGGCCTCGACAATGGAGTGCGCAGAACTGCGCCAGGTCGCCCGGCGAGTTAGCGGGCATTCACCTGGGCCGCCTATTTGGTCGAGAAGTCGGATGTGATTTCGGTCGGCTATTTTCAGGAGCCCACTTGTGAGACCGCGCCCGTGAGCGGCGTTCGAACCGAGCCCAGCGAGCTGAACCGTTTGGGCGCCGACAAATCGGGTAGCGATAATCTTCCCCGAACTGACCGCGAAAGCTCGATGATTGCCTCCTGAAAACGGTATCGCGATGCAGCTCGTTCCCGCTCCTAAAGCAGTGATAAAACGTAGTGCATGTTTCGTGGTAGCGTAAGTTCAACGTGTTTCACACGAACCTGCTGTATCGTAAATTCGAAAACGAACACAAACACGAACACGAACACTGCCCAGGCAAGACGTTAAACACTTGAAACTTAATTACATCATGGAATCCGGTAGCTGGATTTCAACTCGACTCTGATTAAATGTGTAACTGTCAGTTCTGAGGTTGGCTTACCATCAAATCAAATGTGCAACGGTGAACAGACTAACCTCACAGTACCTACAAAATCTGACTGAATTGTGCTCACTAGGACAATAGACCTGAGGCTTGATCTGGAGTCTGGACAGAACTGAGCCGGCCTACAAATATTCGACATTCTAGTATTAGGTCGCAACACCCATAGAACGCCACCAGATTTAACCGCCTGTATGCATCTATTCGCGACGTCAATCAACCCAGCTCTTCCCATTGTTCATTTTGGCGTCTGTTTTGTAACCTTCCACCGTTTCGATCTGTTCGAATAACATCAGCTCTCATCAGTGCGTCCCGTCGGGCCGCGAGGCTGCTGACACGCCACATTTCCGACGTAGGGGGACCGGAACATAACATCACGACCCGAACGAGAGCAGGGCCTCCCAGCCGGGGCTGCCGGGGCTCACTGGCCAATCTGCCGCATAATGATAACGAGGGTGAGTGATAAGAGGGTGTGGTAGATAGTAAAAAAAAAGTTTCATCCGTTCCAAAAGGTATATTTTAACACTACTATTGATAATTCATGCTCAAGACAGTGTTGCACCGTTTAATAATCATATAAAATATCAAAGCCGAATCTACAACTTTGCCTTCTTCCACCTGCTTTTGGCAGCTGCAGTAGCTCGTGTTCTGTCCGCTGCCATTCCGGTTAATCCAAATGGATCCAATGGGCGACGCGGTCGACTCTCGTTCGCCGCCACTCTATCGCCCCTCCAGTTATCTTGTCGCCGGCGCTGTCGCCGGATGGGGCGTCATTCCTGGCCGGAAGTGACGCCGGAAGTGACGCCGCTACGATAGGACGCCGGAAATAGCGGCCATGGCTCAGAGTGCGTCGCGGCGGTCTTGGCGCACCGCGCCACTGATGGCTTCTGCGCTGGGCGGCAATCACTACGCACACAGCCATCGGAGCTAGAACTGACGACCTGGCGAAGGAGCTCGAGTCCTCTAAGGACTCGTGAGGCGACTCATCGTCATCATTACGGTTAATTAATTAATGGTCTGTCCGGTGGTCTTATCTTCTGTAACATTTGCTCCTATGTAGTTTGCTTAATAAAACTGCTTGTGTTGTTTAAGTTTTATCAAACAGAGAGGCATATAGCGTCAGAGAACAACGTTAAACTATAGGTATTATTCTTTATTATGATTAGGTCACTTTGTCGCTTTTAAATTGCATTAAACTTAAATTAATAATAAAAGACATTCAAACTCGGCCTGCATAAAAATAAACCAATAGTCACTTATGTCTTATATGGTCCACAGCATCCGGTAACGTCACGATATCCAGGATTTTGTGAAAAATATAAAATATATAAAGAAGAGCTTGCATCTCTTACACCGAACTTCCTCATGCGTACCTACCTACTACCTACCTAGTCCCAAACATGCACTGACTCGATCCATTTCTATCATTTTTGTTGTCAAAAGAGTGAATACTAAGCCTGGATAAATAACCCCACGGGCACCGACTTTGAGATCCAGCTCGATGCAACATACATAACAGCTGTGACTACATATCACAGAATTGATCCATTCCATCATCGTCCTCTCCGGCTGGGCGATAGTTTTGCATAGCTGTAGGTATGGGGCCATTTTAGGGCCAAGCGCTTTGTTTTCCTGCTAAACATTGAATGTAACCAAAAACAACAGTGAAGCATCCACAAAACACCGACTGATCGGCCGGGATCGGCCACCCCAGCACCAGAATAGTGCTGACCTTTACAGGGAGCTGGTTATAGAAACAACGATGGAGGGATGCGGGTGGTATTGTTCATTACAGTCCTACTATCGTCAGCACCGGCCGCCGTGGCCACCGTTATTGAAACACGGTCAGATATGAACGGGCCCACTGGCCTATGGCGGCTTATTGAAACACGGCAATGAGTGGCGGGTGGTGGCTACATGGTCATTGGTCAGTGACCCTTTCCAATAACGGTGCGACTTATTGGAAAGAGTATGGTTAACAGGAATACCTACGCCGTTCTGGCGGAGTTATTGCACTACGTGTAAAAGTCTGCCCCAGTTAGGTGCAATACCCTTACAGTTATACGTGTACCCTTACCGTAAAAATATACTGTCAATGAATTCAACCATTTTTTGTTCGCCAATGATTTTTGCCTTCCATCTTCGTTGAAATCCCTTGTTGATTTGAATCTGTAATATTCCTACCACATATTCGTTCTTAAACACGCTGAGCCAGCTCCTTTTTCCTTGATCAATCTTTTTTCAAATGCCATATGTCAATGCCGATCAGAGGAAGTTGACGTTCCCTCATAATCAAAGGCTTACGCGTCTTCAAATCCGTGTGTTGATGCTGCGGTGCGCCATTCTGATAGGCACGGCCTTATGTTGGATCATTGCAGCCGCCTTATTCGACTGCAGTGCTTGTAAGGTACTTACCTACACCCAATGTCTAAAACCTTCTCACATCCAGCTGTAAGGAGTTATATACTTTATTCAGGACATGTTACATAAATGGTTATTCCTAATACAAATACCTGACACTGATAAGACAAAAGGAATGATATTTGCAAGCTGACGTTTATGTAGTGCATTATCAGCAACAGACACAGGCTGGGTAGTGGGTATGCAGCGTTATTTTGATTTTTAGTTCTGCGATTTTGAACCAAATCATAGAAAATGGGCACAATGGACACAAGCAGGCAGCGTAGTTGATGTTTCGAGTACAGAGTTTCGCTCCTAGTCAGAGTTGTTCTCGAAATGTTGGCTGTGGAATGACTGCGGCTTCCTGGAATGGCTCGGCTGCTTGGAATGGCTGTGACCGGCACCGCCTGCGGCGTCCGCTGGAATTAGCTATATCGCTAATAAGTAACCGACGGCGGAGACGCGCATGACTGTGACCGGTGCTCGTAACTCCGGGGGCCTGGGCTGTCCCACCCTTCCCGATTCCCAGATTCTTTGTTTCTAGGATTACGGGAAAATGTGCCGCTCTTGTGGCTCCGGCTCCCGTGCTCTGCAGCCTTTATTCTGATTGGTATACCCAAAAACAAGTAGATTACATGACTTATGTTATCTATGGCTATACTAATTTCCGAAATTTCCAAACTGTCCATGGACCATGAGCCTAAAAAGCGAACTTCATTATGTGACCCTGCTTAGCATATTTCATGATTTTTTTTTTACGGTTCGCCGAGTCTCGCAAACATATTTTATCCTGCCTCTTTGAAGCTCTAGGCACAACAAAATATAATAAGTAAATCAATTAAAATACGGTACAAAGCTACTGACGCCGAGAAGTAGACTGACAGAAAGTTACTGACAATTAGATGGGCCACAAACCTCCCCAAGAAATAGCCAGATTCCGGCGTGGACTCCGTCACGGCCCTTTCCATGCATATTGCATATTCATTATTCGGCGTGCGTTAGTCCTGCACTACTTCCGGTCCCAGTGTCGCCTCGTACCGATGTCACACACCTCGCACTCCCTCGCTGCACCTAATCAATATGCCAGTCGGCTGCGAGGTGTCGCTGGGCCACAGGAATGTCACACGCGACGTGCCGGCCTCGGTGACCCTGGCGCAACCCCAGCCTGGTGGTCGCGGGTCGTCCATGGGGCACGGCATGAACGAATATGATTATATGTGCGATGATGTGCGAGAACATGGGTTGGGCAGGTCAGATGGTTGGCGGTTGTGTCGCTGAATAGGACGCCGAAAGGGGGAGTTGATAGAGACGACAAGTTGGTTCTAATTGATGCACCAACTTGTCAGTCTGTCCAATCACCAATGGAAAAGTGATGCAGGTATAAGTAAAAAAATACTTCAGAGAAAGATAAAGAGAAACCACTTATTCAAGTTCGCGATGCATTTCGATTCATGTTTTATTGCATTAGACAAAATGTAGCAACACAAAAATGCAATTTTCAATTTTTCATGTTCCATTTTTCCTTTTGCCGCCGGCACCACGTGCCTCGTGCTCTGTTAAATTCTACATTTCGGCTTTAGTCCCGTCTGGAGAGGACGCTGCCCCTGACAGCGGTGTCACCCACATCCGCGCTCTTCACTCATCATGCATGAAGCGCCACTGGTCCTGACCCCACCGCCTGGCCGGCCATTAGTAATGCAAAGAGAGGACACTGGCTGAGGGGCAGGAATTTAACGAGACACTCGGATTTCCTGCCGGGATTACACAGGAATACTCGTACAAAATTTCAGCAGAATATGCTGACAGAAAAGAAGCATAATGTGTGTGTATGAAGCCGAGTGAAAATTTTGATTGAGTCGTAGCTCTGATCTGACTGTGTTGCTCTCTGTGTTTCAGGCGAGAACTGCTGGAGGAGCGGCGCCGGCTCGGACTCAATGGCTCGGTGCCGCTGCGAGAGCTGTTTCCCATCAGCAACGACACCGGCCTGGTGAAACTACTCAACAGCACGGCCTCCTACGACGACTACGACTACAGCGAGCAGTGCGAGTGGAACGACACCGCCGGCTGCAACATGACCAACATCACCGGCGCCGGCGAGCTGGCAGACGGCGACGACTACAACCTCGTCTTCCCGCTGCCGTTCGCCATCTTCATCATCATCTGCATGATCATCATGATCCTCCTGACGGTCGGTGGTAATCTGCTCGTGCTTCTGGCCTTCATCTGTGAGCGAACCATCCGCCAGCCATCCAACTACTTCCTGGCGTCGCTGGCAGTGACCGACCTCTTCATCGGCTGTGTGTCGATGCCGTTCTTCACGGTGTACGTGCTGCGCGGATCGTGGCACATGGGGCCGATCCTGTGTGACCTATGGCTGTCGGTCGACTACACCGTGTGTCTGGTGTCGCAGTACACGGTGCTGCTCATCACCATCGACCGTTTCTGCTCGGTCAAGGTGAAAATAGCGGCGAAATACCGCAACTGGCGCACCAAGAGCAAGGTTATCTGGATGGTCGTGGTGACGTGGTTAATACCCGCGCTGCTTTTCTTCATCTCCATCTTCGGCTGGGAGCATTTCATCGGCTATCGGGACCTACTGGAGGGAGAGTGTATGGTGCAGTTCCTCAAAGACCCTGTGTTCAACACGGCCCTGATCGTGTTCTACTTCTACATCACGCTGGTTGTGCTACTGGTTCTCTATGCCGGGATCTATCAGACCGCCTACGAGATGCAGAAGAAGGCCGCAGCTAAACAGCGCCTCATCAAGAAGGCGATGGGTGGGGCGGCGGGCGCGGCCACCGGCGCCGGGTCAGGCGCAGCCTCCAGGAGTACCACCGCCACCAACGCCGCCAAGACTGGCTCCGGCAAAAAGGACGGCAAAAAGAACGGCAAGGGAGCGGCCGCGGAGGAGACGAGCTTCTCGAAGATGAACGACGACCGGTCTAGCAGCTATGACTCAGACGAGGCAACCTCCGATCAGAAGTCGTCCAAGAAGGGTGCCGCCGCCAGCGTGCCCAAGCTGGAGCCGCCGCCGGCCAGGGCGCCGCTGCCGCTGATCCCAGAGCGCGAGGAGGTCGCAGACAGGGTGGTCAGAGCCGCACCGCAGCCAACGGCTGTCCCGAAAACCACGGCGACAGCGGCCACTACTAGCGCGCCGGCAGCAACCGCCACCACCGCTGCTGCAGGGGCGCCGGCGTCCACGGCACCGGCTGCGACACCAGCGCCACCTACATCAGCTACCGCAGCGCCACCAGCGGCGAGTACCTCGGCACCACCGGTGGCAGCGGCAGCGGCATCCTCTGCTTCCCTGAACGCACAGTCAACCACGCCGGCCACAGCGGCTTCTGCACCCAACCCTACCCCTCCATCTGCTACAGCAGCCGCCACAACTGTCACCAGTGCGCTGAATTCGGCAATAATGGCCACGTCGGCCGCGCCACCCGTTAGTGCGGCGAATTCTGCCACCACCGCCACCACCGCACCGTTACCCGGCCCAACTGCGCCATCTGGCCACAACTCAACCACAAACGCAACTCACAACCCTCCCACAGTGAACGGCTCGCCAAAGACGATGGTTGTGGGCCAGAATGGCTCCGCAACCATCATCAACCAGCCGATAAACAATGTAAAACCTGACATTAAGTCGGCGACAACCATCATACCGAACGGCCATGGCCCAGGCCGGCCTGCTCATGTGATCACCCGTTCGGTAGATAAGCGCCAGGCAGGGCTAGTGGCCACGGCGCCGGCGTGTACTCAGACGGAGATGGATACTGTCTCATCCACGGGGATGGATGCCAGTGACGAGGCCTCTACCGGCTCCAGCGGGGGCGGCGGTGGCGGCGGGGGCGGGGGCGGGGGCGGGGGCGGCTGCTGCCGAGTATCCGCCCTACCTCTGAACGGCCTAGTAGCACCCGTCGCGCAGCGTACCGGCGGCTTCCTACCAGAACTGGACGTGATCTGCGAGGGTCACTCACTGGAGGCGATTGATCCTCCAGACATGTTCGCTGACGGCCAGCCGCTGAGGCCTGACCACCTCCTGCTGAAGCGTCCGGCAGAGGACCGTCGGTTGGTGTTCACCGGCGGCGGGCCCGGCGGTTTGCATCTCCAATACGAGGTGCACGTCGATCTCGACGCCTCGCAACTCCGATACATGGACGAGAGCTCGCTGCTGCTGTCGCCCTCGTCCGAAACCCCGCCGTCGTCGTTTTGGTACCCGGGCGCGCTGTCGTCACCCGTTTCTCCGACTAAGACGTTCGAGCCTGGTGTGCCCTCCCCGCCGCCGAATGCCATCATCACGCCCAGTCAGACCCCGGTGCCGCCCGATCCCGACGAGCGGTGCCGCGTCGCGTCGACCGCCGACCCGCGCCTGCCGTACGCTACTAGCACCCCAGTGGAGCTCAGCCCACCGCTGGACGGGGGGCTGACCGAGACAGGCGCTCAGACGTATGTGCACGCCCGGCCAGGCGGTCAGAGGTCAGCGTGGGCGAGCCCTGAAAGCAGCTCCGATGATGCCACGTGCCGGTCGGCGTCACCAAAGCGGCGGCTGGTGTCCACAGGTGTGCAGACTATCGGCCGTATGAACGGTACGGGTCTGCCACCGGTGCACTGCTCCCCTCCGCGGACACCTACAGCTCCGGCACCCCAGCAGGCTCCGGCTCCCGCCGCTCCGAGCTCCGGGGCTCCAAAAGCCACGACTAACGGTCAGGTGAACGGTGGACTGACGTCTGCTTCTGCGGTATCCAACGCTGGACAGACACAGGTCACCGCGGCCGCGGTAGTCACCCCTGGTTCCGTCCCCTCCACCACCTCAGCACAGCAGCCGGTGGCTACAGCAGCGACCTCTATTCCAGCCGTGGCTACAGCCGCAGCTACGCTAGCGACATCTGTGACCACCTCAGCAGCGCCCGGCGGGTCAGTAGCGCCACCTGCCGTGACCACCACCGCACCGACGACCTCGACGGCCGCTCCAGCGACAGCGTCGGTGCCGGCCCCCTCCCCTGCCGCCAAGCCCGCTCCCTCCCCCACCCCCACCACCGCCTCCGCCCCCGCTCCCGCCCCCAGTCCCACTCCCGCCAAGGCCGCCGAAGAGAAGATCGAGCGGGACGAGCGCGCCTCGTCGTCCCAGCCGGGGACGGCGGCCGGCACATCTGAGGAGAAACGCTCCCTGGTAAAGGCGATCGGCCGTCGACTGAGAAAGAAGGTGAAGGAGAAGCGACACGTCTCCAAGTCAGAGAACCGCGCCAACAAGGCTTTGAAGACCATCTCCATCATCATGGGAGCGTTCGTGGCCTGTTGGACGCCCTACCACATCTTTTCCGTCATCGCCAGCTTCTGTCCCAACTGCATCAACGGCCACGTCTACATGCTCGCCTACTTCCTGTGTTACGCCAACAGCCCCATCAACCCCATCTGCTACGCCATGGCCAATCAACAATTCAAAAAGACATTCATGCGCCTGTTGAAAGGCGATTTTCACGTCACGTAGCTGCCCCTCGCTCCAGTGTTTCGTTAGTGAGTGTCGGATGCGCGTAGCTCGCTCCTTGTTGGCGCCCCCTAGTGAAAGGCGACGCTACAGAGATGATCTCCTTTCAGGCACAGGGGCGTACCGATTACAAATGGTCTCAACATGCTCGCTACGGGAGTGGGGAGCTCTCGGTCCATGCTTCATTGCTCCGTACGTGCGTGTTTGCGCGCATGGGCGATGAGCAGAATATTTATTGTTTGTACAGACGCTTGTACGTAGACGCGTACGTAGATACGTCAGATATACATATGGTGTATCTCGCTTGTCCTAACGCATGCGTGCATATATGTAGGAAATGTACGTAAATATACTATATGGATAGTTGAATACCGCCTGTACCTCAAAGTAAACACTGACGATTCATGTGTCACGCGCAAGAAAGAATCTAAGAGAATCAGGGCCTCGTCTAACAGATTTTCACTGGGGGGGGGGGCAGGGACTCAATGAGCCAAACCTAGGGTACCCCCAAATCCTGTTTTCTCACCGGATTTAGGCCACTTATTTTTCATCACAGCCCTGAAACCTGATGAACTTTTTTAACACTAAATAAATAAAAATAGTAGAACATCCGACCCATGCCTTTGCATTAGTTTATAACCCCTCACATTGCCCCACCAGAAGGTTATTAGCACACAAAGAATGAAATATAGTTTTTGGACCCCCTACACCTTTTTAAGTCGGTCATTTGTTTACGATTTCAGCCTCTCATTGAATGCTTTACTGTTCATCACAGTTCAAATTTAACGACTTATTTCCGCTTATCTAAGAATCTTGCTCCCGTTATATGGCTTTAAGGGAGCCATCACTTATTTGTATGCGCTGCTGCTCCTCTGTTCCTGCAAGGCAGAGTTAAAACGTTGAAATCGACTATTTTCTGAGAATAATCGAGCGAAATGGACAATTGATGCCCTCGAATGACCTGAACATTGACCTTATGTTAGCAATTTACTATGAACGCATACATTTTTTTTTTGCGAACCACATCGGTTTCTAATGGGCCCCACCGGCTTATGAGCGTCAGGTGCCGAGCTCTGATGGCCAGTGCCAGCTTCTGGACCCACGTCGGCCTCTGTAAGCTCACAGAGACAGGCCACCAAGCTGAGCTTACGATCACCCAGAATAGGAGCCTGCTTCATCACGATTAGGAGCTTCTCTTGCCGCACGCCGGTGACCGTCCAGCCAGAAGTTCGACATCGCGTAGTGAGGACGACGATAGGAAGAAACGGTAGAAACAACAGATTAACGCCCCGAGGACGGAAACAACAGGAGAATACGTGAAAGAGAATATGCGGGACACGGAGTTAGGTCGCCTGAAAACCCGAAATGAAACGTATTGCTGAGCGAAGAAAAAAACAATGGTATCAGGTAAACAAAATAAACACGTGAAAACAGTTAGAGGTAATCGGTTATACCAATGTGCTCTGCATTGCATCCTTGTTTCGCCTACGCATTTGTTTTTATGTGTACTGACGCCTTGCAGTAAAAAAATTCGTTTGCCTTTTCGCTTTTGCCGGCCCCCCGTCGTGACATTTTTACCCTGACTGGGGGGGGGGGGGTAGGCCGGTGACTGCGGGGGTTTGCCCCCCCCCCCAGTTAACATGTTAGACGAGGTCCTGAAGAGAATGCAACCAAGAATGCTGCTATGAACTCTCCTTTCATTCAAAATTTTACCAAACCATTGCACGAACGGAACAACAGAAGCCTACATCACGTTATGTCACTAATAGGTATCAACATGAGATACATAGTTCCTATACAACTTTAGTGACGTTAGGTACTTAATGCATTACTACCTACATACGCAATATCAGAAAGCAGAACTTGAGCATGCTACCCACATAACACATAACATTCGTCCTAATAGCGATTATGCTGAACTGTTAACGCTACCCCACTAACGGACCAAAAAGTTTCAAATTGCAAGTTATCATTAAAAGGTAAGTCTCACATACCTACCTACCTAGCTCACATGTTATGTCCGTGTGCCATCTGTCATTTGTCATGTGTCATATGTCGCGCCATAAGCAGCCTGTCACGTGTCATATGACATGCCACTTGTGACGTGTCAAGTGCCATATAGCATACGTGCGTCACGTGTCACGCATCCCATGTCACGTATCGTTCGGTCTCTAACCTCTGTCGGTCACGTGACTTATGTCGTAACTGCTTCTGCCCCAAGAGTCACAGCTCTCGCTGTCAGGTGGCGACATTCACCGTCCCTTAGGGCCGAGCCGAGACGCATGAATGACTCATGACTATGCGTGAATGGCTGTTGCCGAACTCCGAAGGCTACCGTTCCAGCCCAAGAGGTGTGGTGCACTATCGGATCCTGAAATATCCAACATAGGAACAAGGCTGGCCTGTAGAGGAACATTGGGCGAGGGGATACCTGCCGAAAGCGGCTTCACTATTAATTGGGTCAATTTAGCTTCTAGCTCTTAGAGAAATGTCTTCAAGAAGCCCAGGACAGACCGAATAAGGATTACTTATAATCCTCTTCCTCTAAAAATATTACTTATTCCTGTGTTCAAAAAGCCATGTTATAATCAAAGCTTACATAATTAGCGTTTGGTCATAATTCCGATTACTTCTGTTCATTCTTCGGACGATTTGAGTTCCCCGTCCGATAAAAAAGACAATGGTTGAATGCTTTTTATTCATAAATATAATTAGTCATTTGATAATAAAAGATACAATGAATGACTAACAATAATTAACTAAGCGTATGGATGTAAAATTGTTAAGTGACTAAAAGACGCCAAACAACGGTTTCAGTTATGTATCGGACAGATGGCCATATTTTGAACGACAATGATATTTAGCCAATAAGCCTGTGACATTGGAAATTTCATATTGCTGGCTTGAGTAAAACCAGAGATACAATATCTGACCTAAGAACAGAACCAAGGCCATTGGCAGCAACTCTACAAATTGAAGTTATGCCTCATCTGAGCTACGAGTCCCCCATTGCGCCACTGGGTTTGGTAAGCGGGTGTCCGGTTGCTTAAACTCGCATAAGTGTAAAGCTAGGTAAGCACACAGCTGAATTTCTTGTACTCCCACACGACTGAACAAACATGCCATAAACATTACTACTGATAGGCGCCGTTATCAGCTCAATAGTTGGTCGTTTCATGCGTCAGGTGGTTGATAGTGTCAGCACACACAGGTACACTCGGGGGCAGATTGATGTTCCACAACTCTTTATCCACCGGGTTCCTATGGCTCAGCATTGGCAGCAGCCGCCTGGTACCGGTAGACTGTGCCGCTTCACTTACTTGTCAAGCGGCACAGCCTACCCACCTGTATGACACCGGTCTGGGTCGGTGGCTGGAAGGCGATGTGGGCCGCCTGTGACGTCAGCGCAGCGGTGAGGGCCGAGCCCGGAGGCATGGCTCGGGTCGGCGCGGCGCGGCGCACAGTGGGCCGATATGCCATTCTAGCGCGACAGGGCCTGAATCTTCGAACGGAACCCTTGGTTTTTCGCGAGTAATTCGCGTAAAAAGCGGCCGATCGCAACGAAACTTTCAGTACCCTCGCGATAAGTACTTTTACAGCTAACCTGAAAATTTCATGACCCTGACCTTAACCCGCGACCGCCTGGGGGGGGGAGTCGGATCCGACCCCCCCCCCCCCTCCGTTTTTCTTGAATAACTCATGAATCGCTTGAGCTATCAACTTGAAACTTTGCATACCTTCTCCCCCATCAATTTGACGTCTCCTGTGCAATTTTAAAGAAAAAAATTTCAAAAATTTCTGAGATATATCGATTTTAGTGATGTAACTACATGGCGTTTTCAGTCAAAAAATGGTAAACGTTTAAAAAATCGCCAAAAATCAAGATTTTAAGCAAATTGCAAATTAAGGACATGAAAAGACGCAGCTCAGCAAGTTCTTTAAAATGGCTATCTCGGATTTTCCATAAAATGCGTTTTTCACCCCTAAAAATTCAAAAAACTATATTTTTTTGGAAAACAGCTAATAAAATCCAAAATTTTGAGAATTTCCAAAAAACCGGAATATATGTTATAGAGCTCTATTAGAACATTAGATGTCCCAAATTTCAACTTTCTATCTTGATTTTTGACCCCCAAATTGTAAAAAAATAGCTCCAACATGCATAGGGCATGGTGACGTCATAAGCATTTTCGCGAATTAGAGGCACTTCTGTACATAGCATGTGAAAACAAATGGCACCACTAGATTCCTGGGACAAAGCTCGTCTAGAAAAGTGCATTTTTATGTCAAAAATAAAAAGTTGAAAAATTGACTTTTTTTCTTAGCCCTCGTTTAGTTATGGATGGTATAAACGATTTTTTATGCTTTCAATGCACACTTATCACCAGCACAGTGACTTGGGGTCACATATAACCATTACCATCGGATTTGGCGTGAAAAATAAGCCATAAAACATGTGTCGCACGCCCATGTAGCAGAAAGTGAAAACCGTGACCTTTCGTGACCTGACCTGACCTTGACCCGTACTTAGTATGACCCCTATACGCACATGGTACCTTCACTAGGTCTTTGAGGTCATTTGTGGTGAGTTTCGAGCAGCAGCTATCGATTCCGCTGTCCGTAAGCCTAATCATGCAAAACCCCTGAATTTGACCTTTGACCTGACCTTGACCCGGAAGTTGACCTCAATCTTAAAATCTTAAGAGTGCTTTGGGAAGGTCTCGTAGAGACCTTTCGAACGCCGCCTCGCGGGGCTCGATACGACCATTGGTTCTCGAGATAACATGGGGGGGGGGTCGGATCCGACCCCCCCCCCCCGGCTGATGTGGGTACGGAAATAGCCCAGGCGGTGCCGGGTTAATGATCTTTGGCCTGTGACCTTATTTTGAGACCATGTTTGGCCGGAATCGCGATTCAGCGTATGTCGGCTCGCATTAGCCGCCGGTTTGCAGTCTTTTCTTGGTTTAAAGCGTTCAAACATGGGACATTATGTTGCTCCCATGCATTAGGGTGGGTGTCAAGGTCACCAGAAGGTCAGGTAAGGTCATTGACCTTCGATAACCTTGGTTCACTTTTTCGAGTTTTTCATGTTTCTAGGCTAGTTTTTGGAGCTGAATTAGAATCTAGCAACCATTTGAACATTTACTATGTAGCTTTGGTGCCTTCGTAACATGTTACAAAGCTGTCAGAGGCGGTTGCCACCTACTGCAAATACCCGGCAAAACCCTTACTTGTTGACCTGACCTGACCCGACCTGGCCTAAATGTATGAAGACATCATCTATGATCGTAAATAACATTATATTCGTGATCAGCACCCAAAAAAACCATAGCAGCCACCCTTTACGACGTTCTAACAGGTCCCGATTTTCCCGACTTTTGGGTCATTGACCTAACCTGGAAGGTCAACCGATTACCTAGGACCTTACAATTGGGTATCATCAGCTTCCTCTTGTCACGGGCAACACGCTCGTCTTTTCCGCGAAGCTCTAGCTCGCTCAGGGACGAAACGGGGGGGGGGGTCCAACGGACCCCTTCTATACGTTCGCGGCTGGAAAACACCACTAGGGGCGAGGGTTAAGCCAAATCTGAGGGCTCATTTCAGAAAGACCGCTAAAAGAGCAATTGAATGCACTTTTTCGCGACGATGTAGCTCTATTGGTCCCCGAAGTAAGAGCCGGTTTTCGAGAAATGTTGATATATGCAACATTTTACCTTTGATGACCTCTGGTGACGTGACCTTTGACCTGACCTAGAAATGACTAATTACTCCATCTGGAATTTCGGGCGCTCTTTCGAATGCCACTTACTACGTGTCGCTATGTGGCCCAAGAGCCGAGTTAGAAAGGGAGTGTTCAATCAACACCTCCCGGCCCGGCGCGTTTGACGCCGAGCACCGGTCCGGCGCGGGTTGATGTTTGGCTGCTACATCCAAAGTCGCAAAAAGTCGCAAAAAATGACTGTTGGATCTTGTAGTGCAATGCATCATTGACATGTAGCGACATTTTCGAAGCGGTACTCTGCGGTACTTTTTTTAAAAGTCTATTTGTGTGTGACATCAATTATGTGAAATTATATTTTCGTCTTTAAATCTTTGCGGTGCCAATACATCAGAACCAAGTAAGAGCTCGCCATTTTCATGTGGTTATGTGTGTTCTGCAGACCCGGAGCTATCGTTTGATGTATATAAATGTGGAATTCCTCCTCAAATTGTGATTGTTTCGTGGATCAAAGATACGTTGTCGAAGAGTGCGCGGGACGAGTTCGGTCCAAACGATTCCGAAGTTCGTGTTTAAGCTGAGTTTTCGCCATGAAATAGCAATTATGTTGGAAAACAAAGACCACAGCAATGTAGTATGATCATTTTTGAACAAATTGGTATAGGTTTCATTGCACATCCATAAAGTTCGATTTTTTACCCATGTCGTGCTAGACCTGGCGATCGGCCCAGTGTGCGGCGGCTGGCGAGGACTGGGGAGTGAGGTGGGGTGGGAGCACGGACATCGCGTGGCTGAGCGAGTATAGCCCTCGCCGGCCGAGGGGGGGGGGGGCGGGTGCCGCCCCCCCATAGGGTTTTTTCGCGATAGCTCCGAACACGCTGGCGATAGAGAGCTGAAACTTGGCATACCTGACCTTTGATCCAAGCCGCATCTTTTGACACCAACCGCATTTTTGGGTCAGGTCAGGTCACTGACCTATGACGTCATAAGTGAACCTCTACACGGTCTTCAGATGTCGCAACTTCGCAACGCCCTCACTGCCAGAGGAGATGTCACAGGGAAATGAAACTTGCAGGATCTAGTATCCATTATGAGTCTCACAACTTGTATATCTCGGATTTTTCCTAAAGGTCATATGAGGTCAGGTCATTTTCGTGACCTCACCATTATAAGTCAATGGGGAAAAATGAAAACTGCTATCCTGGCGCCGGGAACGATCTCCAACTATCTCAAGCACACAGAATCGTGATTTCATGCACTCCTTGCAAGGTTAGATGCGTCACTTTTGCAATGTTGACCTTGCGTGACGTCATTTATGACGTCATCAAGGTCATATTAGTTTTTCGTCAATAACTCTTGATCAAATTGAGCTAGCGAGTCGAGAAAGCCACCAATGGGCTCAGGAAGACCTGCCCAATCGAATGATATGCGACATGACCTCTTTCAACCAACTTCGTGACCTGGGGGTGCTGACCTGACCTTGACCTGAGGTCAACACCCCAAATTGACCTGACCCGGACAAAAAGTATATCATTCGACGCGCCTGAGCGAGGCGAACACGATGCTGCCAAAATCGCGGCTCTGCGGCCGTTTTTTGCGAAGTTATTCACCAAAAACTGAACCGTACCCTGGGGCACTTGACCTGACCTCAGAGGTCACCGGTTGACCTAGGACCTTAAAATCGGGTACCAATCTCTGCGTCTCGTAACGGCGCACACGCTCGTTTTTTCCGCGACGCGCTAGCTCCACCAGGGGCGAAACGGCGAGGGGGGGGTTGTACCCGCCCCCCCCCCTCGGCCGGCGCGTATGTAGAAAACCAATAGGTCCGGCGAGGGTTAACTTTCGCATCTCAAGGCGCCAATTATTCTACCTAACAATTGTGCTAAAGCAGTTGTTAAAATGTCCTATTCCCAAGACAGCGCCTATCATCATACTTGCAATGCACATTACGACACACTTAAGCGTGGCAATGGGACAGCCGATAGAACTTATGTCACTCGTGCATCGAGGTGCGGAGCTATATTTTGTATAACATATTAGTATTAAGGCCTTGATTGAGCATATTGGTGTCTATTGTTTCGCACGGCAATCGTCCAGAGACGTGGGAACTGGGGGTTATGAGTAGTGCCGCAGCCAACGCTCCAATTTAAAGCGGTAGACTGATTTACTGTTGCTCTAATATGTGGTCGCAGCTTCCAATAGCAAACCGTTCCAACTAGGAGCCAAAAAGTCAGCCACTCAGGGGGGCTCGAACCGGGCTTCCCCCACCGGCCAATTCACGACACGAGCGTTCATCCACTGAGCTACCGAGAATGGTCCTCGTCCGCACAAAACAAAATGACATTGACCCGCTGACCGGCAATGACAGTATTGTGACATTTGATCGCGTTTGACCGCGGCGGGTGGTCGCTGGTTTCGGCAGCTCAGTGGATACACGCTAGCGTCGTGGGGTGACCGGTTGGAGAAACCCGGTTCGAACCGTCCCAGGTGCGAGACTTATTTGTTCCTAGATGGAACGGTTTGCTATTGGTGGCTGCGACCACACATTAGAGGAACATAAGAGTTGCTTAAAGTTGGGACGCCGCGCTATCCAAAAACCCCAGTTCCCACGTCTCTGGACGATTGCTGTGCGAAATAATAGACACCAATGAGCTCAATCAAGGCCTTAATACATATCTGTTAAAAACAATGTAGCTCCGCAACTCGATGCACGTGTGATATAAATTCTATCGGCTGTCCCAATGTCACGTTTAAGTGTGTCGTAATGTGCATGGCAAGTATGATGATAGGCGCTGTCTTGGGGATAGGACATTTTAACAACTGCTTTAGCACAATTGTTAGGTAGAATAATTGGCGCCTTGAGACGCGAAAGTTAACTACACTCGCTCAGCCGCGCGATGGTCCGTGCCCCCACCCCACCTCACTCCCCAGCCCTCGCCAGCCGCCGCGCCGCGCCGACCCGAGCCATGCCTCCGGGCTCGGCCCTCACCGCTGCGCTGACGTCACAGGCGGCCCACATCGCCTTCCAGCCACCGACCCAGACCGGTGGCATACGGTGTGGGTAGGCTGTGCCGCTTGACAAGTAAGTGAAGCGGCACAGTCTACCGGTACCAGGCGGCTGCTGCCAATGCTGAGCCATAGGAACCCGGTGGATAAAGAGTTGTGGAACATCAATCTGCCCCCGAGTGTACATACCAGCGTCACACAATGCCAAACAATGCAAGAATTCAGCTGGTATCTGGACCTGTACGTAAGAGGGGTGAACAGAGGTCTATAACTCGGATTTTGAGTTTTATCAGCGCATTCCTATTCATTAGCCTACCTACTCCGACCCGGACTGGCAGGCTAAACTATGGAAATGAGCTTAGCAGTTTTGGACTCGTAAACCACAATTAGGTATTTGAATGTAAAAGAGGGAATGGGGAGGGAACGTTAATCATTCCTAGCACCTGTATTACCAAATAATTAAATCGATAAGAAGCAGTGTAATCAAATATAATATCATGGATGGCTGAGGGCTGAGGCTGAGGGTTGGCTGAGGGCCATATCAGTAATCAGTATCTTTGGCTATCAAAGCGTAGCTCTACTGGCGTTGTCTGTCCTCGCTCCTGGAGGCAGTGAGAGGGTCAGCGGAACTCATCCCTGAGACAACAACCAGCTCAGCCGGTCTTGCTTCTGGGCACCACAAGCAGCGGCAGCTTCTGCCCCTCCGGGCTCAGGATGAAGGACTTCTTGTCCAGAGGCGCCGGAGGAGGCGGGGTGGTCGACGTCGGCTTCAGCGTCGCCTGCTTCAGCAGTGCCACGAGCGCCACCTTGGCCTCGAACAGCGCGAACCGGGTGGCGATGCAGACTCGCGGCCCGCTGCCAAACGGCAGGTACACGCACGGATGGCGACGCTCTTTCTCCTCGGGCAGGAAGCGGTCCGGGTCAAACCGCAGCGGGTCCGGGTAGTGGTCCGGGTCTCTCTGGATGGCGAACGGCGACATCTGCACCGCGGTGCCGGTGGGCAGGCGGATGTCCGTGCCCGGCAGCGTGTAGTCCTTGGTGGCGACGCGCTCTGTCCGGCTGAACGGCGGGTACAGGCGCAGCGTCTCGGCCAGCACCTGGTCCAGGTAGGGCATCTCGTGGACGGCGTCGTAGGTGAGCGCGCCGTGCTTGGACAGCACCTCGTCTGTCTCCTCCTGGACGCGCTCCTGGATCTCCGGATGGGTCGCGAGGCTGTACGCAGCGAACGTCAGCAGACTCGCCGTGGTGTCGAACCCGCCGATGAAGAACAGCACCGCCTGAGCCATGATGGACTTACTGGTGAGGATGCGGTTGCCGTCCTTGTCCTTGGTGTCCATCATCAGCTGCAGAAAGTCTCGTGACGAGGTTGGATGCTTGTCGCGATAGTCGATGGTCTTGTTTACCACGTCTGTGAAGAAGTCGATGGCTTTCTGCTGAGGGCCTGGGAGCCATTTCAGGAGGGGCTTAGGAAATACGGTTTCCGCCATGAATCGTACTACGCCCAGAAAACTTATTTGGAAGAGGTTCGACGCCTCGGTGGCAAACCTGCTTTTGGAGTCGTCAAATGAGTTCGATTTTACCCCGAAGGCACACGAAGCAATGTTGTCCATCGTATAACGCGCGAACATGTCTCTTATATCAACCTCTCCCTTCTTGTTCATATCTTCCATCACGTATTTTGTCAGGTTCTGGGTGTTGTCCAGCACCAGCTGGTGCATACCCTTCAACTTACTGCTGGAGAAGGCAGGGGTCAGCACCGCGCGGGATTCCTTCCACTTGGCACCTTTCAGGGCAATGAGTGCTCCCTTCAAATCCTCAGCAATGCCTTGATCACTGTGGTCAGTAAAGTACTCAAAATCTTTGATGGTGATGGACCGGATAAGATCCGGATCTCCGACAAACAACACTGGCCGGTGCATTTCGAAGAAGCCACAATACTTTTTTCCGCCATGTTCGCGATACAGCCACGTTTCGACTTCATACAGCGGCTTGGAAAGTGGCGGACCGGTCTCGTTGCCCCAAGGAAAGCATGGCGCGGGACCGGGCACGCCGCGCGACTTCCAGAAGTCAAAGTTCTTGGTGGCCGTGCGGTAAATCCAGGCGCACAGCAGCACGATCACAGTCAGCGGCACTGGCGAGCACAGCCAGCTGAGCACGGCCAGCGGCGCCGTCAGCAACCAGCCCAGCATGGCGGCCCCCTCTGTGCACCACGCGCCGGAGCACCGTCACCCCTGGACGTCCCCGACGACTGCCGCCTTCCTCCGACCGCGTCCGCGCACCACGCACCCTGCTCTCTGAGCGGCGCCGCCACTCCACTGATGCTCTCCGCAAACAGAGGCAGAGCCCAGAGTTCCGGCCTCTCCCCCGACCCGCCGCCTATCTACCGCGTCCTTGGGCCGAGATCAGTCAATAGTCATTCACTCCGGGCGTCATAGGCGGAGCCAGCCGCGGCGGGGAAGATACCCATCACGCAGAACGGGCGTCTTGCCTATAAACGTCGCAAAAATACTAGACTGTGGGCAGTTTATAAGTCCCAATGCATCCCATGTGCAATCGATGAATGATTCGAATATGGAAAATCTCAATGCACAAACCAGTGTGACGAAAGCAACCTATCAGAATTCAGAACGGTACATCGCCGAGCCCAGTCATCCACTTCCCGTTCCGTAACAGAGGGATCTACGCAACAATGACGTAATTTCCTTCAATAGTTTCGAACAGTTGCGCAAACCAGTTTGGGTTATCTCCGACACCGAACCTCGCAAAGGACAACATTTTATCAGCTTCAAAAAGCATGTAACAAAACCGTCCCAGAGCTTTCCTATTGCACAGTCCTCTCCGATGCTTGCAAAAATTAGGCTTGGTTGCTAACATTTCCCACGGGCTACGGAGGGAGGGAGGCAGTAGCTAAGCTTCTGAAGATATCAATATAGATTACATCACTTCACTCTTGGTTGGCCGTCGTAAACGGACGTCCGAGAGTGGCGCGGAGGAGACAATTGATCAGACAGAGGACGAATACCATTTTTTTCAGCTTATTAGGCTAAGGTTAAATGTAGGGGTTAAGGGCCCCATCCTCGTTTCCATCTTTCTTTAAAACAATACATCAACATTTGGACATTTTCACTGTCTTGTATTCGCATAACTCATGCATAAATGCATTAGCTTAGAATTTAGATAATAAATAAAATGTATTAAAACACGCATATAACATAAAGAGCTTGGGTTTCATGCCCACTAATAACGAGTGACACAACAAAGATCAAATCGTTGAGAATTCTGATGATAGCCATTTGTTTATGTGTAAATGGCAACGCAACGCAAAACGTCAGAACTCATAACATGCAACAGCTACACCGATATGGAAGCCTATTAACCCTCGCCCGCACATGCCATTTTCCCATCCTAGAACGCACATGGGGGGGGGGGGGTGCCACCCCCCCGCGCCATTTCGTTCCTGTTGGAGATAGAGCTTAGCGGTAAAGACCAAAAAGATTCTTTGGGAAGAGACGAATCCAATGATACCCAGTTTTACCTTCTCAGGTCAGTCATTGACCTTCCAGGTCAGGTCAAACTAAAAAATGTTGCTGTTTTGGGTCACCGTTGGATATCAAGTGCGCAGGCGCTGCTTATCAAATACCGATGACGATGCTGTTTTCTGGTGCCAGGCCAGCTAGAACCTCTCTGTCACACTACCCGACCAGAATTTTGCGGCTGAGGTCATTTCAGGTCAAGTTAGGTCAAGGTCAATTATATGTGTTTGTATGTCTGTGTGTGTCTGTGTGTATACTGATGTGTGCACCGATTGTTTTTGGGTCCATGTTACATGAAATCATGCTCTGAGAAGCTTTTACCAAAAATGCAGTAAAAAAATAAAAAAAGTAAATTCAGCTTGCCTAAAACGCAATTATCTTAGATGACCTAGGTTGACCTTGACCCTGACCTTGACCCCTGTACATCGTCGAACAACATGTTCCATGATAGGTGGGAGGTAATACTGGCAAAAAAGGCCGAAATCAGGGTGTCAAAAGCTCGCAAGACCCATGGCAAACGCAAGATGTTGAGAATTGGCCATTTGGGTCATGACATGACCTGAAAAACAAGGTCATATCTCCGAAACCAAAAATCACAGAAACTTGAAATTTTCAGTGGACATCAAGAAAGGATAGAGGAGCAGCTATACGAAAAATCAGCGTTCTAGCGCTAAAAATGTTGAGTGCAGAGCAGAAAGACTACCTGGGGGGGGGGGGTGGCAACCACCCCCCCCCCCCCCATGTGCGGGCGAGGGTTAAAGGATGGACAGAAAAAAACATGAAGAAGCGATAGTGTAAGACATGGGATGAGAACAAAGATCAAGAAAGAAAAAAGTAGCTAAAATGCCGTCACCTGCATATGTAATTTCATTTACAGCAGCAGAAAGTTCAACATGGTTCAACACCACTCCCTCCCGTGTAAATATTATTATAGGCAATACGGACCGAAGCGTCGCGGTGACGTGTTCGGGCTTACTGCTTTGAGCATCTCCCTGCCTTACATGTAACTACAATTACATACGCCAAGTTATTAAATTGAACCTCCGACTGCCATTGTCCGCTCCGACGCTCTGAGCTACTTCTTCAATCACATCGACAGCTCTTGATCTCCGCAAAAGGTCACTTCATTCAGTCGTTGTCTGTCTCGGTACGGCCAGCAGCGGCACCTTCCTGTCCTTCGGCATCGTCAGGAAGCCGTCCGGATCGAGCGGCATTGGATGGGGCGGCGTCTCCGGCGTCGGCTTCAGCGTCAGCTCCCGCAGAAGCGAGACCAGCGCCACCTTGGCCTCGAACAGGGCGAACCGCTGCGCGATGCAGTTGCGCGGCCCGCTGCCGAACGGGATGTAGGCGCACGGATGGCGACGCTCCCTCTCCTTCGGCAGGAAGCGGTCCGGGTCGAACCGCAGCGGGTCCGGGTAGTTGTCCGGATCGCGGTGCATCACAAGCACGGGTATGACCACGACGGTACCCGCCGGGATGTGTACGTCTGTACCGGGCAGGATGTAGTCCTTGGAGCAGGCACGTTCAAGACGCGTGGCTGGCGAGTACAGGCGCAGAGTCTCCGCCATCACCCGGTCCAGGTACGGCATGTCCTGGATGGCCTCGTAGGTGAGGCCTCCGTGGCGCTCCAGGGCCTCGTCAATCTCCTGCTGGACGCGCTGCTGGATCTCCTGGTCCAGCGCCAGGCAATAGGCGGCGAACGTCAGTAGAAGAGAGGTCGTGTCGTACCCGGCGACGAGGAACAGGGACGACTGGGTGACTATGCTGCTGTCCGAGAGGATCCGCTTGCCGTCCTTGTCCTTGGTGTCCATCAGCAGCTGCAGGAAGTCGCGCGTCGCACTAGGGCTCTTCTCGCGATGGGCCATCGTCTTCATCACAACGTCCTTGAAGAATGCGCCGACCTTCATACTATAGTCGGGGAACCACTTGGCAATGCTATGAGGTAGGAACGTCTCTGCCAGGAAACGTATGAGAATCTGAACATTGAAGCTGGAGAGCTTGGCTGCCGTTACAGCAAACTGACAATTAGGATCAACAAAGGAGTTGCAGTTGACGCCGAACGCGCAGGCCGCAATGTTGTCCATCGTGAATCGTCCAGAAGCATCCTTGATTTCCACTTCTGCTTCCTCTGCCATCTGACTTCTAACATACTTTGTCAGGTTCTTAGCGTTGTTCATTGTCAACTGGTGCATTGCCTTCAGTTTGCTGGCCGAAAAGGTGGGCGACATCACGGTACGAGTTTCCTTCCACTCGGCACCCTTCAAGAGAAAAAGTGATTCGGTCCAAAAATCAGATCCGATCTGATCACGTTGATTAGCAAAGTAATCAAAATCCTTGATGGTGATTGAGCGAATCAGGTCAAGGTCTCCAACAAATAATACCGGCTTGTGCATTTCAAAGAAGCCACAGAACTGCTTCCCACCGTGCTCGTGATACAGCCAGCTCTCAAATTCGATCACCCTTGAAAAGCCCGAGCCAAACTCTGTTCCCCAGGGTAGACATGGTCTCGGTCCAGGCACGCCGCGTGACTTCCAGAAGTCGAAATTCTTTGTGAATCTGTGGTACGCCAAGGCGAGCAGCAGAACGATTACCGTCAGCGGTATCGGCGAGAAGAGCCACCGTAACACGGCCAGTGGCGCCGTCACTAACCAGCCCAGCATGGTGTCAATGTCTCACTGTCTCACAGTCTTACTCTCAGCGCCGCTCACCTCCTCTGAGCGCCTCCTCAGACACTGTGAGTGCGCTGCGCACCTGGGATGGTCTCCGTTCCCCGTACGGTATGTAGGTACACGTCATCCAGAGCCCGAGGGGCTGTTTACGGCGCGGCGGCGGCGATGGCGGCGCGGTGGCGCACAGTGAGTGTAACGAAGTTTTCTGTTGTAAGGCACATCCAAACGTTTAGCCGGGTGTTGAAGAAAGCAGCAGGCGGGAGCCACTTAATCAAGGAGTTTGTTAAATTCTTTATTAGAAGCTAGAGTATAACTCGAGAAAACAGGGTCGGGACACGAAATTGGAAAGTTCCAGCACGGCGGTGCGATATTCATGCAGATTGCGGCTACCGATAGTTCGAACCCCATTGAAACATCGGCTTGGCTTCTTTAGCCGTGGCGAAACACTTTGTAAAGTGCACTGATTAAATTGAAGGAGCCATTAAAAAACGACAATTGTGTGTTATCCATGACAGATATATATAAAAAACGACAATATATATTGTCGTTTTTTATATATATCTGTCATGGATAACACACAATGAAGGAGCCATGTAATAAGATGAATTATTATTTATTACGGAGCGAGCGAAGCGAGCGGAGTCTTTCCTTAGATTAACGGAAATTTCTGAGTATGAGCGGCCGGCCGGCCGGCCGTGCGGACGCTTTTGCGAGGCTTATATCTCAGCAACCAATTGACCGATTTACATGCGGTAATTTTTGTAGGGTAGCTTCATAACTTCTACCAATATTGGACTATTCCCGATGCATGTGGGTGACCCCTTATGCACGTGCCACGTGCAAAACGAAGGGGTGTCAGTTTTGTAATTGTTGCAATATCTCGGTAACTACTTCGCCGATTGCGCTGAAAGTTGGCATGTAGGTAGGCACCCACTAGGCACTGCATATCCATGTGCCAGAGTTGGGGTGCTGCTGCACGTGCGCACGTGCAGGGGTCGATTCCAGATCTCGAGAACGGCTGGACCGATTGCGCTCAAATTTGGTACGCGGTTAGGGACCGGTTAGTAGGGTGCCGTGCAAAAGTCAGTTGGGACCCATGTTGCACGTGCGTACGTGCAGGGTGCCGCTTCCAGATCTCGATAACGGCTGGGCCGATTGTGCTCAAATTTGGCACATCGCCAGAGACCGGTTAGTAGGGTGCAGTGCACAAGTCAGTTGGAGGTACCCCCTCGAAATTTCGCACGTGCAAGGCCCACCCTCTCGCTCGCTCCGTTAGTCGCCCCAAAAGGCGTTATACTGGTGAGTAGGTATTGAGCAAGTTCCTAAGATGTATAAATTGAGATGGACCAATTTTCGGTTGGTTTATTGTCTCGGACATTAAAGGGCTGAATGCTGATCATGATTGAGGATTTTTTTAAGGAAGCTAAAATAAATGCCGGTTTAGTAAAAACGTTAAAAAGAACTCTGAAGAACGATAATCACGTCAGTCCAAATAACAGTTCAATCCACATTCCACTCTGTGAGTATGGCGCAGTGCACATGACCGCTGAACGTTATGTTCTCTCTACAATTGTTACTTGTAGGTACTGTTTAATGAGATAGTAGGTAGGTAAACATACTAACTTAATCACAGCTGCACCCGATTTGGGTGACCAAAGGACCCACAGCGCGGCGGCTGGGTAACATTGCACTACGCTATGACCTTGACGCCGCAGAAGGCCAGTGCGCTGTTAGCGCATGCGCATTGCACAGTTGAGGGGCGCTCAGAATGCATGCAATGTCCTGCGTGACGTCACGGCATTCCAGGTAGTCGCTCGCTCACCTCAGTGTTTCGGATCGTGTTTGCATCACCATTCACCTGGCTAGTAGGTAGGGGAATGTGGGGTAAGACGGCCCAGCGGGGCAAAGTGTATTTAGAACGGCAAATAGGGAATTGGGGCCATATGCTCTCCGAATCCTCATCCACCAGTTCACGGAGCCACTGCGACAATATCTCCCGAATTTATTCACCGAATCAACATAGCAAACACGTAACGTCTCGTAACATTGCGAATGACCCCATACATTGCAGCGCGCCCCCTCGTCGGCCCAACTCCCGAATCCCGAACTTTGGGGAACACTCGGGACTGGCGTTACACGTGTGGGATCAGCTGTCCTTATCGACCCGGTGCAAGCCGCTCGACGATTGGCCCGTCGGCCTCCGTTTCCACCAATCACAGCCGCCGTCACTGGCAGGCCCCAAGGTCGCTGCCGCTCGCCCGTGAAGTAAACAGCAGCGGCCGGCTCGGCAGACGGCCGGATAGCGCCCGGTAGAGAGCACTTGAACTGTGAGCTGTCGTGTTGAATTTCCAACATGTCTGACCCTAAAGCGCCCGAGGATGTTGACGAATACGAGCACTACAACTACGAGTCAGACAAGTTCCTGCACACCAAGGGTGGCAAGGGACGGACGAAAAACGAGGCGGCGATGAACGATCACCAAGACCCCGGCGGTCACACGCGGAAAATCGTCAACAAGCTAAAGAACTCGGAGGAGAAGAAGCTGTCACCAAAGAATAGCCATTGATGTGAGCTTTAAGGTGAGTTCTTTGACATGTGCCTGGGCGGGGGAGGGGTCCAGTCGGGTCATGAGGATTCAGGACAGTGAGCGCTTTATTGATCGACTAGTTGAAAGCGTTTGTCTCTTGTTCTATAGTGCCACTCCGGCACTGACAACTGGTCGGCAGTCGCTCTGACGTTACGCGCTCCACAATAGTTTCACATATACTGGAGAAACGGAACGTGATCGTGCTACTATAGGAGCGGTAGCCCCTATATAGAAGGCGTTCGCGCCAGCACCAAACGCCTGAAGTTAGGCTGTGCCGCAAAACGCAGACGGACGCCTGCATCATGCTGTGCCGCAAGGCACCACCACTCTGGCCAGGCAGCCGTATGACGAATGAGGACATAGGCGGCGGAACGGGGAGGGCACCGGGGTACCGTGCCCCTTTGATTTTGACATTTTAACATTAGCCCTATGGGCGTTGCATGGACAGAATGGGACCAAAAGTCGGCAGTGCCCCCCCCCCCCCTAATTGAAGGTGTTCCGCCGCTACTGAATGAAGATAGACTGCAGAGCAGACAATAAAACCGACAGGCGAGATCGTTTGGATGGAAATGCGTGCGACTAATCGATACCGATTTTCTCTCGGGAGGGAATTTGCTTCAGCCGAACAGATCAATTCTCAAGGAAGAGCGTCGAACGAAGTTTAGAACCAGCCATTGAGGAGGCGTGACCGAATCAGATAAAGACAAATCCATAACTATTATCGTCAAGGTCAAGTTAAACACAAAGAAAAGCTAGAATGAGTTTCCAGAAAGCCTGAAAACACGACAAATATTGAGAATGTCAAACTATGACAGTTTTCTGAAATCCCCGCATTAATCGCGAATAGGTGGATGTATTCGGGCTGCTTAAATGCCAAAGATTCACTTTCACTTTTGTTGTCTGTCGATTGCTTCCACCTGTTGTTTCCTCACGGTCGATGCCACCTGGCCCGCGGTGGTTCGGACCGATCGCCTCCCTCCAAGGTCGGCTTTGTTTACGGCCGTATGGCTACCGCCGTGAGCGCTACAGCCAGAGAGCGGGGGAGGGGAAGGGAGAGAGGGGGGCGCCGTGTTGTTGGCACGTCAACGTCGACGTACGGTTTCGGGGACAACGGCGAAATTTTTCTTCAAGAGAAATATGGAGTAACTTGTCCATATACCTGCACCAGATCATTGTAAACGTCACACCGTTTACATTTTTGCCTTTAAACTTTGTATCAGGGATCTTTTTATGTTGAATCTTGTGCTATTAAGACCATGTCTTGTGAAGACAATCCCATGCGGAGCAGCAAAAGCGGTGCCAGGTTCCTTAGCGATACCAGCTGTCGGATCAGTCGTATACATGGCGTCATGGGCCCCCGAAGGAGCCGTTTCCATCGAGGCATTTCGTGCCACAGATGCCATTTCTATTTGGCGTCAGCCCTGTAGTGGCCTTGCATAAATATTTATAGAGCTGAAACTAGAAAGGAGGCGAGCAGCCTTGCATTCGCACCCGAGCCTTTGAGGTTGATTGATACCAGGCCGGTACGAAGTCTGCTATCAGGCAAAGTGCATTGGAATTTTTAGAGCCACAAAACATAATTTGCACTCAATTCGTCTTTCTTATATGAATCATGCTGATCTTTTCAATGCCTAATGCTGAAAGGATTCGGAGTTCGGCCGTGGAAGAGGTTATGTGGTAAAGTGACAGAGTCCATGCATATGGATTATGGATCGTGTTATAGGTAGAGAGGTGTGACGGGGTCTAAACCGTGACGGGATACGTGAGGTTCACCAGATCCCCCCCCCCCCGGTCACTGAGGTTGAATTGACATGGACTGACGGATTACAGGTACGGAGCATTGGTTGGACTTGAGGGGCTCTCCCACGCGTGGGGCGCACCATGACCAGGAATACATTGGCATAACCAGGTCTTGTAACGAATCCATGACAGATGTAAAATGACGATAATAACTCAAGTTTATTGTACAAGACAAAGCTTTCGATACATAAAGTATCTTGATCACTGTCAATGAGATGTAGAATATTTGAAAATTCACAAATAACAAAAACCGACGCAAGTCGTTGCATTTCTTTCTTCCTAACATGTGACATTCACCCTATGACACTTTCACTGCTAATTTTGCTGCTATGCTAGACCATGTAATAAACCCGTTTCTTGTGTTGAACGTATTTCTTGACATGATATGAGCCGCTTCGAGACATTTTCGTTTTCGTTTCTTCATATTTCGTTCCAATATTTTGGTATCGTCCCACTTCGGCAGGTGGTGGCATTCATCTATGTGTAGTACGATCGCATTGGAAGTCCGGTGAAATTTGACATCGCTCTTATGTTCCTGTAATCGCGTTTTTAATCCCCTTCCTGTCTCGCCTACGTAAGTCTTATAACACCCCGAACAAGGCACTTCGTAAACAATGCTCTTCTCGGAGCCTTCGTTTTTCTCTTTTCTTTCTAATATGTTCTTGATTTTCTGTCCTGAGTTCGTAGCAATCCGCACACCTATGCTCTCTAGTTGTTTTGAGATGGCATTCGCTTCTCTTGAATAGGGAATCGTTATCCATCTATCAGGCTTGTCTGTACGCTTCTTCGTTTGTCCTCTCTTCTTTTTCTTGACGATTTCTTCTGCTTTTTTCCTCTGCTGTATCAGAAAACCCTTTGGGTACTTCAATCTTTCAAAGGTCTCGTATATGTGCTGAAGTTCTTCTTGTAAGTAGTCATCATCACAAATCCTAAACGCTCTAAGGAAAAAGCCAATAACTATACCACTTTTCACCCTGTCTGCATGAGCCGAATAAAAATGCACGTAATCTTCCTTATTGGTAGGCTTTCTGAAAACTTTAAATTTGAAGTTGCTGTCTGTCCTCAAGATGGAAGTGTCTAAAAATGGCAGCTGGGCGTTCTGTTCCTTCTCCAATGTAAACTGTATCTTTGGGTTGACAGCATTCAAGAGGTTCAGTTTTTCGTCCAAGTCCATGTCTTGCGGTACCACTACCAAAACATCATCCACGTACCGCATCCATTCTGAATCAGGGCCGATTATATCTAGAAGTCGTGACCGTTCTAAATCTTCCATATAGAGACACGCGCCAATGGAGCTCAGCGGTGACCCCATGGCTAACCCACGGCTAACCCACTGTGTTGAACGTATTCAACACAGTGGGTTAGCCATGGGGTCACCGCTGAGCTCCATTGGCGCGTGTCTCTATATGGAAGATTTAGAACGGTCACGACTTCTAGATATAATCGGCCCTGATTCAGAATGGATGCGGTACGTGGATGATGTTTTGGTAGTGGTACCGCAAGACATGGACTTGGACGAAAAACTGAACCTCTTGAATGCTGTCAACCCAAAGATACAGTTTACATTGGAGAAGGAACAGAACGCCCAGCTGCCATTTTTAGACACTTCCATCTTGAGGACAGACAGCAACTTCAAATTTAAAGTTTTCAGAAAGCCTACCAATAAGGAAGATTACGTGCATTTTTATTCGGCTCATGCAGACAGGGTGAAAAGTGGTATAGTTATTGGCTTTTTCCTTAGAGCGTTTAGGATTTGTGATGATGACTACTTACAAGAAGAACTTCAGCACATATACGAGACCTTTGAAAGATTGAAGTACCCAAAGGGTTTTCTGATACAGCAGAGGAAAAAAGCAGAAGAAATCGTCAAGAAAAAGAAGAGAGGACAAACGAAGAAGCGTACAGACAAGCCTGATAGATGGATAACGATTCCCTATTCAAGAGAAGCGAATGCCATCTCAAAACAACTAGAGAGCATAGGTGTGCGGATTGCTACGAACTCAGGACAGAAAATCAAGAACATATTAGAAAGAAAAGAGAAAAACGAAGGCATCACTGATGTTAGTTGTCGGACTTTCGTCCCCGTCTTGAGTTGAGATGTTAGTTTCACTGAAACTAACATGTTGTGAAACTAACATCTCAACTCAAGACGGGGACGAAAGTCCGACAACTAACATCAGTGATACTAACACCTCGTCTCAAGCATTCAGAAGAACAAAAACGAAGGCTCCGAGAAGAGCATTGTTTACGAAGTGCCTTGTTCGGGGTGTTATAAGACTTACGTAGGCGAGACAGGAAGGGGATTAAAAACGCGATTACAGGAACATAAGAGCGATGTCAAATTTCACCGGACTTCCAATGCGATCGTACTACACATAGATGAATGCCACCACCTGCCGAAGTGGGACGATACCAAAATATTGGAACGAAATATGAAGAAACGAAAACGAAAATGTCTCGAAGCGGCTCATATCATGTCAAGAAATACGTTCAACACAAGAAACGGGTTTATTACATGGTCTAGCATAGCAGCAAAATTAGCAGTGAAAGTGTCATAGGGTGAATGTCACATGTTAGGAAGAAAGAAATGCAACGACTTGCGTCGGTTTTTGTTATTTGTGAATTTTCAAATATTCTACATCTCATTGACAGTGATCAAGATACTTTATGTATCGAAAGCTTTGTCTTGTAGGGGAAGTTGGGGCAATGCCGGAGTTAGGGCAAAGCCGAAATTCAAGATATTTCGAAAACTGTACGACATGGATGCCACCTGTCAGTGATGTTCTGAAGCTTAGGTGACTACAATTATCGCATGTTTGTTACGAGTCGTCATTCGGAACACTTCGGCTGTGAGGGCGCCAAGAGCGTTTTCAAGGTACGTTTCCCTTGTATTACATGCGCCTTTGAAGCTGCATTTCTTACTCATTATGCTACCGTTTGTCTGGCCAATTCGGTCAAGTAATCTTCAGCATGTCTTTGCATAAGTGTGCTGCCTATTTGAGATTTATACAGCACGTTTAAAAGTTATGGGCCTGCAAATGAAAGTATGGCTGGCTGGGGTAATGCCGAAAACGTGCAATTACGCACGTTAAAGCACGCTACGTGGACTTAACTGCTGTAGAATAGCAACGCGTAATTTTAGTCACACAAATTACACTTTCAACCGACACAACGGCCTGCTACCTAAAAGGAATGATTTACCTGGTATTTTCTTATTATATCACACAATTATAACTTCCAGTGTGCACCAAGCGTCCTCAAGCCCTTAAAACGCGTGTCAGTTTTGATGAATTCTGGATAAAGTTTGAGATAAAATGGCAAAACATTAATGTCGGCATTCCCCGTAGATCATTTCTCCCATTTTCGGCTTTCCCCGCAGTCCGGGGCAACGCCGAAAAAGTCACTACTTTGATATTTTTAGTTTGCGCGCTTAACGGTATGCGAATTCATCAAATGCGCCTGGTATGTTTGAAAGGCAAAAGACTGGCCTCTCGAATGACGCCAACAAGAATATCTTATGTTGTCTACCTTGCGTGCTACGGGCGTCAGAAAAAAAGTATTCGGCATTCCCCCAACTTCCCCTACAATAAACTTGAGTTATTATCGTCAACATAACCAGGTCTGTCCCAGAGCCAAAGACTCGTTCAACTGATTGATGTCAGAAAAGGAAAATTGCCAAGGAATTTCAACTCCAACTTCAGGAAGTAGGAACTTGCATAGCTCTTCCTTTAGCCGATAACTAGCTAAGGCAGTTCCACCATGCGTTTCGGCCTCTTCCCAATATGTATCAAGTTATTTTGCGTGTCTCGACATGTAGCGCAACATGAGGCAGCAATCTACCTCTGTTCCTGCGTCACCGATCTGGCTGCGTCACAATCGTCGCCGCACCCGCCGCGTGGCGCGGTCAGCTCTGTCTTGCGTCGCCCGCCCGTCCAACCCGACACTTTCAAGGTCAATGACGTCGGCCGTCGTGATCCTGTCCGGTTGGGCGCCTCCGGGTCTGAAGGCTAGCCGGGTTAGACACAGCCCGGGAGGGTCTCCTGTGCTCGGCTCGGCTCAACCCGGCGGGCTGAGATGATAGATAACCGCGGTGCCTAGACCGTCACGGTGCAGGAACGGTGCAATGGCCGCCGACCGGACCCGCGGGGAAGGAAGGACGGTGCCCGGGGCTGGAACGGAGTGTGGGAACTCACGAAGAGCCAGGACCGGAACAGAGAGGTGAAGGGGTGAACAATCAGTAGCGGCGGAACACCCTCAAGCAAGGGGGGGGGGCACTGCCGACTTTTGGTCCTATTCTTTCCATGCAACGCCCATAGGGCTAATGTTAAAATGCCAAAATCAAAGGGGGGCACGGTGCCCCGGTGCCCTCCCCGTTCCGCCGCCTATGTGAACAATGATAGTCATATGGGACTTGGGAGCGCGTGGGTAGGACGGAGGACAACACTCAGCCATCAGTGCAAATATTTTGCATAGAACCACTGCCAACTGGAGGAAAACAGTTGCTGCAGCTGCAGAGGACAAAGAATGTGCGTGAAATTAACCGGTCGCATTGTTGTACTTTATAAGCCTGCAACGGCGAGTCGGATTCACTTCCGTTATTGCAAAGATCTCAAACGATACCGACACTATTGTTCTTCATTTCCTTGCTGCAGTAATAAAATAACGAAAACATTTTTACAGCTGTTGAATATAACAGCAAGGCTATTCAGCCGTCATAACGATGCTCGTTTAGAGCCAGTATGTTGACGTTCGGGCGATGACGACAAAGTAACCAATTTGAAGAGTGTTCTCCTTTCCTCACATGTCTCACTACTCGTCTCGCCAGCCTTCATCGGAACCGAGTGAGCACGACTGAATTCGCCTCTCCTTCAACACCCAGCCGTTGACCTGGGGGATGGATGAAGATGTCTGGGAGGAAGGGGATAGAGAGGCCCGAACCGATTTTAGCCGTTGGGTCACCGGTATTTCTTTGCCCTGTGCTGCGGTACTTTCATGAGAGATTATTCCCTATGTCCAACGAACTTTGCGAGCAGCGTTTGACAGTCCCGCGTCTTTCCGTTTTCCACAGGTTTTCATTATGCTGTGCTGCTTCATTGCCGACTGACCCAGCCCGCGGCCGAGCGGGCGACCCCACGACCTGCCGCGACCCGTGACGACGCCGGCCGTTGTCATGGCGACCACCGCGGAGTGGACCGCCCCCGGGGACGCTGCCCGTGGCGGCGGTGACCTCTGACCGCTGCCCCTCGTCCCAGGGGAGGGGCGCGTCTCTGTGGCTGGCTGCTGCCCAGCCCATCATGCCGTGACTGTGATGCACGGGTACAAACGACAAATACACACCATCGTGAGTGTAACTGACGTGTTTCCATGGGGCCAGTGACGGCTGTGACGAAAAGATAGCGCAAGACCTACTCAGGAATGTTAAACATAAGCATACCTATGTAGCTCAGCTTCACGTTGCTTGCTTTGCACTGCAGAGAAAAAGTCCCAGGCGTCAAGTCAGGCTAGAGTCACTTTCAATCTGTCAGTATTCACGACTAAGCTTGCGATGCACTAACAGGACACAGCCGAGGCAGAGGAGGCATACCTACAGATGGGATCGGTAGAGGAGGGAGAGCCTGAGCAGCACACGGAGAGGAGGGAGGGGAGGGCGGCACACCGGTCGCAGGTGCTGCAGACCGGTCTGGCAGCATGCCAACCGCACGCAGAGGCGGAACCAGCGACCAGACGGTGGGGAGACGGGAAGTTTCCGGCCGGAAGTGGCGGAGATAGATATCACTCGGGAGGGGTACCAGAACAAAGGATGCGGAACCGAATAAACGGGTGACGAGTCGAAATATCCACTGGACAGGCGACGAGCAAGGGCGGATGCAGGGATCTTCCAATCCTAGGCGTGAGCACCGGGCAGGGCGCACCAACAAGGGGGCACTACAAAGGCATAACCGACCTTCCGCACACCATCGCTCATAAGCTACTTGAATAATCCGGGTGCCTCATTGAATTGCAAAGATAATTAATACGCATTCCGCAATGCTCTTTTGAAAAGAAACACCTTTCTCCCACATTTCTATCTTTCCAAAATGTTGATCACAATTTCTTCCGATTCGCGGTTCACATCAAAGCCTTACTTCAGTTCTAATCGATCCTCTGGCGCAATACCCCATCCTCTCAAGCACCAAAACTCATCGTTCAGCACTTGCGATAAGGCCAACAGACGCCAAACCTATTCTACGACGCCACAAGCGGCCGTGAATCACGCCTCGCGTCAGAACGTGATCGAACTGACAGCGAGTGCCGCCGCCGGCCCTCGAAACTGCGCCGTATTGGAGTGTCCATTGCCCAGCTCAGCCCAGCCCAGCGTGGACCAGGGCAGCGGCAGCTAGGGCGATGGTGGCGGCGGCGGTTAGGGCGGAGGCGGTGAGAGCAAACAGCTGTGTCAGCGGCGTTATCATCGACACAGGCAGGCGCAGGCCGTTGACCCCACATGAGAGAGAGTGCAGGGCGGCAGGACAGAGTCGCCCGGGGCTAACACGACAGCGCGCTGTCAGCTGACTCGGCAGTGGGCTCAGTCAGCTGGCTACACCGGACATCCACGCCCACCAGCCGTTACCACGGCCCGCTCCACTGAATCGGCACAGGACAGGCAGCCGTCCGGCCGGTCCCACAGTCCGCTCCACTATGTATACCGGCACAGGCCAGGATAGGCTAGCCATCCGGCCGGTCCCACAGCCCGATGCTCTGGAGTTCAGGGGAGAGAAGCGGCATATTTGGTGGAAGCGTGTGGTCAGCGGAACCACTAGTTACCAGGTCCGGTGGCGAGACGATTGGTTCGCACCAAATGCAGTAGATGAAGCAGCTCCGGGTTTCGAATGAAGCCCGGAGGTGAACAATGACCACCAGCCTGCAAGTACACACAAACAAAGCAATCCGAAAAGCAATGCAATGCTCAGCAGGCGAAATGCATTCACAAATGCAGCCGTAATACCTCCCCCGCATTTTTCTTCCAAATATCCGTCCATCAAGGCCCACAGGCCACGATCGACTAAAAAAGTACCCCGTACCATGCGGATAGGCAGTAGCATTAGGACGAACAGCGGAAGCCAAATAATGATAAGGTCGCGGATAGCTCCAACACAACGGAATAAAGCAAATAAGATATAAGGACACATCCAGGGGAAAATGTGGCCACAGTCTAGTCTACAGTGAGACTTAACCCTCGCATGTGTAGGGGGGGGGGGTCGGATGGACCCCCCCATGGTTTTTCGCGAATAACTCGCGTAAAAAGCGGCCGATCGCGACGAAACTTTCAGTACCCTCGCATTGATCAATTTTACACCTACCCTGAAAATTTCATGACCCTGACCCAAATGACCTTTGACCTGTGACCTCTTTTCCGAGACCATGTTTGGCCGGAATCGCGATTTCGCGTATGTCGGCTCGCACTAGCCGCGTGTTTGCAAGCTTTTCGTGGTTTCAAACGTTCAAACATGTGATTTGATGTAACTCCCGTGTGTGTCAAGGTCACCTGAAGGTCAGGTCAGGTCATTGACCTTTGGTGACCTCGGGTGACCTCGGGTCACTTTTTCGAGTTTTACATGTTTCTAGGCTAGTTTTTGGAGCTGAATTCGAATTTAGCAACCATTTGAACATTTACGAAGTAGTTTTGGTGACTTCGTAACATGTTACGAAGCTGTCAGAGGCGGTTGACACGTACTACGAATACCCGTCACGACGCCTACTGGTTGACCTGACCTGACCTGACCCGACCTGGTCTAAATGCTTCAAGACATCATCTGTGATCAAAACTAACACGATATTCGTGATCAGCACCCCGAAAAACCCCTTAGCAGCCACACTTTACGACTTTCTAACAGGTCCCGATTTTCCCGACTTTGGGTCATTGACCTGACCTGGAAGGTCAACCAATGACCTAGGACCTTAAAATTGGGTATCATCGGCTTCCTCTCGTCACGGGCAACACGCTCGTTTTTTCCGCGAAGCTCTAGCTCGATCAGGGGCCAAACGGCAAGGGGGGGGGGTCCAACTGACCCCCCCCCCCCACATTAGAAGCTGGCAAACGCCGCACACATGCGAGGGTTAACCCTCGCCGGACCTATTGTTTTTTTACATACGCGCCGGCCGAGGGGCGGGGGGGGCGGGTACGACCCCCCCTCGCCGTTTCGCCCCTGGTGGTGCTAGCGCGGCGCGGAAAAAACGAGCGTGTGCGCCGTTACTACAGGGTGCGGAAAAAGTTCTGTCATATGCATGCTAATCTCGCCTACGAGCGCTGCGGTTGAGTTCTGGGCAGCGAATAGCCGCAGGCGTGACCTTCGGTGACCTAGCCACCTGGCCGGAGGGCAAAAACTACCAGCCATTCACGGTCAGTCATGAAAAGGCAGGCTAAACGACGCCTCGTCGCTGGGTGCCTGCGCGCGGCGGCCAAATCGGGCATGACCGATAAGCAGGTTACGGCAAAATGTGGAGTCACCTGGCGAACAGTCATGCGCATTAAAGCCAAAATACGAGCAGGGGAGACCAAGGGGGAGACTGTCGATCCGATGGTTCGATTCAATCAGGTGAATAAACATCCACACAAGGTGATGGTGCTCGGCGTGGTGGGTTCGGACGGCAAGAAGTGCCCGATGCTCTTCATTGATGCTAATGAGAAGGTGAAGAGGGTGGTGTACGAACGTCTGCTGAACAATGACGTCATCCCATGGATCCTGAAGACCTACCCACTCGGCAATTTTGTGCTCCAGCAGGACGGAGCGCCCGCGCACACTGCAAGTTCCACCCAGCAGAAGCTGACGGAAGAGCTCGGGGGAGGCCCATTTCTGGCGCAGGGAGATGTGGCCTCCTCAGTCATCCGACCTGAACTCCCTCGACTACGGCATCTGGAGCGTATTGCAGGAGGAGGTCCAGGGAGTGTCCCATCCTAATGTGGAGGCTCTCGAGGCGCACATCGTGAAGACGTGGGAGGCGATGGACCCCGCCTACATCTTCAAGACATGCCAGTCTTTTAACCCCTGTGTGGAGAAGGTCATCACCGCTGAGGGGGGTTATATTGAGTGAGGGGGGAGTGAAAGCATGTGGTAAGATGTGGCAAACCAGTGTTTGGTGGTTTTATTAAATATAGCTGCTCAGGTTGCATTTGTTTGTGGAAATGCGGAGATATGACAGAACTTTTTCCGCACCCTGTAGACGCAGAGATTGGTACCCGATTTTAAGGTCCTAGGTCAACCGGTGACCTCTGAGGTCAGGTCAAGTGCCCCAGGGTACGGTTCAGTTTTTGGTGAATAACTTCGCAAAAAACGGCCGCAGAGCCGCGATTTTGGCAGCATCGTGTTCGCCTCGCTCAGGCGCGTCGAATGATATACTTTTTGTTCGGGTCAGGTCAACTTGGGGTGTTGACCTCAGGTCAAGGTCAGGTCAGCACCCCCAGGTCACGAAGTTGGTGGAAAGAGGTCATGTCGCATATCATTCGATTCGGCAGGTCTTCCTGAGTCCATTGGTGGTTTTGCCGACTCGCTAGCTCAATTTGATCAAGAGTTATTGACGAAAAACTAATATAACCTTGATGACGTCATAAATGACGTCACGCAAGGTCAACATTGCAAAAGTGACGCATCTCACCTTGCAAGGAGTGCATCAAATCACGATTCTGTGTGCTTGAGATAGTTGGAGATCGTTCCCGGCGCCAGAATAGCAGTTTTCATTTTTCCCCATTGACTTATCCCTCGCCCTGGCAGGGCATTTTTCATAACACGGCCTGGCAGGGGGGGAGGGGGGTCGATGCGACCCCCCCTCGCGATTGGCTCATATGGCACCTAGAAACACCAAATTTGGTAGGTAGGTGGGCCCCCTGGAGTTCTCGCCCCTGTGCAAATTTGGTTGCTCTAGGTCAATATTTAGGGGGGTTTTGGGGGTGGTATAAATGTAAAAATTTCGCTAAAATCAGGTCAAAAGTTTTTCGCTTATAACTTTTGATCTAATTAAGATAGAGCAAAAAAGAAAAGCACCAGTGAACTCAGCACGTCAAGGCGCGTCGAATGGTATACTTTTTAGCATGCTTAAGTGTACTTAAAGTTGTTCTTAAATTTTAAGTAAACTTAAATTAATAAATTACGTTAAAGTTAACCAAATTGCATCATATCGTATATCATTCGATTCGGCTGATCACCAGGAACACAATGATACCATTTTTTTAAGCTCTAGCGTCATTATGTGCCAAGTTATTGGCAAAAACGTCATTTGACCTCAGTTGACCTCATTTGACCTGACCCATGGATAAGTACACCAAACAAAGAAGCACCAAGTGACCTGCTGTTAAGTACTGTGGTTTCAAAGCACAAAAGTGATAGAACGAAGCGAATATCTCCAGTATTTTCCGAATTTATTATTTTCCCATAGGCTTAACATTACGACGTAATGACCTCTAACTGACCTCAGGCCAGTGACCTCAAAAAACCCGAACTATATGTTATACAACTCGGTGAACTTAGCACATCCTGAAAGTTTGAAGGAAATCAGTGCAAAACTGTGAGTTGGACAGGTGCAAAAAGAAAATTGAAATTTGACCATGACCTTGTACCGGTTTTTCTGACCTGGTGACCTGACCTAAGGTCACCCGGACCTGAAATTTTCAGGTCATATGTAAAAAGGTTGCCCCATAGGCTGTGCCAAATTTGGCGGCGCTGCGCGCCGCCGTTTTTACGCTATCTTCCAAAAACCTTAGGGGGTGGGGTCGCATCGACCCCCCTGCCAGGGCGAGGGTTATAATGGTGAGGTCACGAAAATGACCTGACCTCATATGACCTTTAGAAAAAAATCCGAGATATACAAATTGTGAGACTCATAATGGATACTAGATCCTGCAAGTTTCATTTCTCTGTGACATCTCCTCTGGCAGTGAGGGCGTTGCGAAGTTGCGACATCTGAAGACCGTGCAGAGGTTCACTTATGACGTCATAGGTCAGTGACCTAACCTGACCCAAAAATGCGGTTGGTGTCAAAAGATGCGGCTTGGATCAAAGGTCAGGTATGCCAAGTTTCAGCTCTCTATCGCCGGCGTGTTCGGAGCTATCACGAAGAAAACCCTAGGGGGGAGGGGGCGGCACCCGCCCCCCCCTCGGCCGGCGAGGGTTAAATCCACAAACCAAGGCTTACGGATTGATTAGGTTAGATGGGTGTTGGATCCGGTTTAGTTAAGGACCACACCACATCAGCAGAAACCAACTAATGAAACGCTCATATCAAACACTTTTACAGCCTTTTTCTCTCGATTTATTTCGACACAGCCATGGATCCGATGAAGGATAATGAGGAGAGTCTGGTCCAACGCCTGCGAAATGTGACGTGCGTGCACATATGTCTGTCACATATCAGTGCGACTAGCTGCAGTCACATCACTCTGACTCATATATCTAATGGCTGCATAAAACACAATTGAACAATGCATCTCTTACTTAAAATCTCAGAGATACGAAAACTCAGAACAATTGTTATTGATTGATGACAAACCATATCAATCAACAAGGGGGGGGGGGGCGAGAAGCGTTAACTACTGGATGGCACATTAAAACAAACGCGGCCCTGCAAATAACAACATTAAGAAACTCAATGCATTCACCATAGCAAGTGACTGAGAATTTACACAATCAACTAAATAAAATCGCCCTGAACATTAGCGCAAGCTATCACCCATCCATAAATGAAAAAGCGTCCAACATAGCCGCGAATTCTCCATTTAGCCACGAGTCATGTCAAACGAGTCACAGAAAAAAAAACTGATCACACCATCGCTAACAGAAATTGGCAAAGAACAGCGCTATCAGTATCCTCAATTTAGCAGTAAATTGCATTTCACATGTATAATAAAACTTGTTCTGGTTAAAGTTACAAAACAGACGGTCAGCTCAGGGAATTCTGCTTACATAATAACCAACAAAACAGGCTCAAACAATCGATTACCGTTTGCTTCGGTGTCATTATGCCAGCTTTCCGCCGTTCTAATTTGAACATCCTTCCTCAATTGGATTACCTCCCAGCTAGAGCTAGTGTGGGGTCATAACTGTTTGGTGACTGGGTGAGTCACGATATAGTGGTAGGGGCTGAATCATACACCCAAAGCTGCACGCATGACCTGTAAGTGCGTGAAACGGACTCGACATTAAAATAAATGTAATGAAGTGACTAAAGGCAATGAACTGAATAATGTAATGAACTGGATAAATGTGAAGAACTGAAAAAATATAATGAACATTGGCGTGGACGACGCTTGAAATGAGACACTTCGTGCAAGTTTAAGCTCATATTTTGATTTTCAATATTGTGTTTGCCGCAAACAAGTTTGAACTAGCATTCATGAAATAAAATAAACCATTACTCACACAATCGACTGTGTCACCAGGCCGTGTCATACAATGACAGTGGTGTCAGAATACCGACACGTCATATCGACCAGTCCGTTATACCCAGCCGACAGCCAGTCGCCTACCCCCTCCCCCTAGATAGCCCGGCACAGGTGTGTGCGGCGCGGGGGGGGGGGAGGAGAAGCCCAAGCCAACCGCTCCAATACACCGCAACCACCTGTGTGTGTCCCAGGGGAGCAGGCCCACATACAACGCAGAAACCACGCGCGCACATGTGTGTGATGAGTGATGACTAGTGATCGATATGAAAGAAAGCCCACGGAAGGGGTTGCCTCAAGTCAGAGCGGATTTCCACTTGCACATTATAACGATTCATTCACGTATGGACAAACTCCTCACCGAACGGACCTAGCTAGGGCGAACCCATGCCCACTTCAGACGCAGTTCAGCCTGAGATCACAGTAGGCACTCAGCAGAAGCTCAGTCGGAGCTCATATCACAGCTCCGAATAGAGCGATCACCAGCCACTCGGAATACCTTGCTCGGGATCGACAGGAACTGGGACGTCGACCAGCCTTGCAGTACCAACTGCGGGGGGGGGGCGGGTCTCTGCTGCACCTTTTAGCAGGGTAGTCCTATGTGGCGTCTATAAGATCCACCTGACTTCACATTTCTTCGACGGAGAGCGTCATGGACGGAGACGCGGATACGTCGTTAAGTTCCTGAAGAGGGTGGGCTCACCAACCCTCCTGCCGACGCACCAAAACGCACCCCGCCCCTCTCCATCGGTGAGATATGGCGGGGCCCCGCCGTGAGCGATGTGAAGCAGAAGAGAAAGCAGAAGAGGTGCTAATCAGCTCAGACTCAGTTGGCTCTCAGACCGTACCTCGGAGTCGTCCTCACGTCCAGGGCAGGCCGTTGCTGAACAGACACGTTCCCAGCACGGCGTAGCCGAGGAAGTAGAGCTGGACGTAGGTGCCGGCGCGGGTTCGAGGCTGGGCCAGCCACCGGAGCGACGACTGGCCGCCTGATGTGAAGGTGGCGGGACTGCCGCCGCCATCGCCCGAGGGCTGCAAACAAAGACGTGCTTCAGCTACATGACCGATACCACGGACAATTAATCAACGACATATAGCGCAAGCAATAGGGTGATGTGAATACAAATGGCTACATATTTGGGGATTATACAGTTAATTAGAACCTTCGATCTACTCTTCGTAAAAATAAATGTTAAAGGTAGTGTGCCACCTTTGAAAGATTTCCCGTTTTATTTTTCCTAGGATAAGAAGCTTCTGTTTTTACCTAATATCGCAAAAAAAAATAAAAAAATGGGCCTGGAATAGTGCCTTTTTCGCCTAAAAGTTTATCGGTTTTTAGATATGTATAACAACTGTAGTGGGCTCACCTGCAAACAGGCGTCGGGCAACAATCGCGAATGCGGCGCACTTGTGACAATAAGCAAAGGTCATTATAGTGTTACGACCATACGACGTACGGGAATGAGTTATCAGCTGTCTAATCGTAGACAACACAATGTCGAGCCTTAAACTGTAAGCCTGTATTGGTATTGTTTCTTAAATTTGGCTGTCGAACATTAATTTGTGGTTTGAAATATGATTTTATGTAAAATAATTGATATGAAACAGCCGTCTCTTAAGTTATGACCCCATTACACCACACGCAAGTGGCAGAAATGACAATGATCAGCTGACGCATTTTTCTTGGCCGAAGTCAGAGCGCGCGGCCCGACGCACCACGCGTATTTGGAAATTCCGACCTCGACGAGCATCAGAAGCCACCTAACAGGCGTGTTCGAAACCGCAGGAGATGATGATGAACGGGTTTATCGAAACTTGATTGGATGAGCCTATCGGTAATAGCGATTTTAGTGTGTGCATTTATTGTTCATAGTGGTGTGAAATGTGGTTGGGGTACGACCGACAACCCGTCGGGGCGAATTTCGCACTGGGGTACTCAAAATTTGAAGAATTTAAGACGTTTCCATAAGTTTTGAAGGTATGGATAAGTTCTAAAAATCCGGTTCTCCTTATCCGGGTCATTAACTCCATATGGTCCAAGAAAGCTGGCACACTACCTTTAAATAAACATTAGCGGTATACAAAATAAAAAAGTGCATTTTTACCTTCTCATCAGAGGAAAAATGTACAGCACAGGATAAAGATAAAAATACCATAAGTACCACTATTTTTCTTTAGATCTGAAGCAATAAATTGAAACCAGAGTAAAGAGCTTAAAAACACTGTCTCATAAATAAACTTATTCCTAGAGATGGTCAGAGGACAGGGCTCGTCTAGTTACATTGGGGACGTTTTGGCTAAATATTTGCGCGGTCTGACAGCTGTTGATGGAAAGCATGGGTGGCGGGTGCTTTTAAAAAGCGTGCTTAAACAAACACTGTGAAGTAATTAGAGCCAGCACTGGAATTCAACAAAAGATACGCCCGAGTCATTGAAGTGTTTTCTTCTTTTTTATAGAAATGTTGTCCGAATGGATGACTGGGTGGCTATGGGCCCGGGTGCCCCGCTAAGCAGTGCTTGTTGCGAATGACACCACGGACCCACCACCCCACCTTGCCCGCGCCCGGTTCACCGGTGATAATTTGGAATAAATCTTCCCGCAACTCCTTTCATATGTTGCAAAAGTACCCTGTGCTTTTCTTAGGTGTTGTTTTTATCCGCTGGGACTGAGAGCGTGAGATGATGTTTTTATCCCCGTATAGCCCGTATAGCCCAAATCTTTAACGAGCTTGCAAAAGATGACTGATGTCATCACTGTCAACCGTGGCAGCCGTATGGCTACCCATCTACGCTGGAGTACGAAAAACATCATCTCATACCCTGTGCTAATAAAGAGGACACTGAAACGCCAGAAATCAAGAGCGACTTACCACACAACTGTCAAAATTCATACATAGCGACAGGTAGCCATACCTCAGACAGGCGTCGTCTGGATGCCAAAACGCTGTCTTCTGACCGGGCCGTGTTACCCTCTGGCCGAGAATTCTCATCACCCGTCCTGCCGTCCTTCGTCTCTGGACCGTGTAGAAGGTCGGCGGCGAACCAGTACAGAACCGGAGAGCTAGAGGCCAGCACTCTGGTCGTTACCTGGAAACAGTACAGGCAACTGTTGGTCAGAACAGAGAACAGGGTAGATCAGGTGACTGGTAAGGGTAAATGTCAGTTCGGCTGGTTAGTGCTATGTTGGGTTAGTGACGCGGCTGACCTTTACCGTTACAGCTTACGGGGCGGATGAAATCGACCTTGAACCGGGCAAAATGGCTCACCGGGGGAATCTATAACGCGAATGAGCTCCTAGACGAGTCTGGCTGGTCGTTTAGTAGAAAGTGCAAGTAACATTGATTTATGAACAAATAAACATAGGATAGGATAACGTAAAACGTTCAAGACCCGAGAGCAACGTAGTGAAACTTGGTTGATTGATGTCGAACAACATATGTCAGTTGAGCCACGGTGACTCATGAGCATTCAAAGGAACAAAACGACCACAGCTGTGTGGCTGGCTTTGCTGAATCACGTTGCGTTTTTGCGCATATGTCACGGCGTTTTTGCACCAGTGCCTATGAGCGACAAGGCGCTGGCACCGCGAACAGAGTGCTTTGGGTGAATGCACTCTCATATCTTTACACAAATGGCAATAAAAAATACACTGGTACCCCGACAGGACAGAACATTCGTCAAAATGATGGAAAGCCTGGTTTGACCTATCTGATGACCATCCCTAAGCATCATTCAAATACAAAACTTCAAATTATGTAGATTGTAGACTGTGCTAAGGTATCGATTGATTCGAAACGGCAAACAGTAACTTAGTTTTTTTTTGGGGGGGTTAGGCCCTTTCGGTCCAATTAGACCATTTCAGAGCCGGAAGGATGATAGGAATTAGGGGGAGACATTGGTCTGGGCAGGCACCCTAGTGAGTCGCCGGGGCTGAGCCCGTCCAGAGGACAGGCCACCCAGCCCCAAGGCACTCACTGCACCCGGCTACGGGGTGCGCTCCCTCGGGAGCAGCGGTGCCGCTCCAAGGGAGCAGCCCGCATGAGATAAAGTTGCCTGTCCAGCCCGGAAGGGGTTGCGGCGTGGAGGAGAAGGATTTCAGTATCCTGAGGATAGAAGCACGGAACGGTGAACAGTAACTTATGTGGTACAACTCACCTGAACGTGAGCACACGTAACCATAAAGCAGGTGAGGGCGGCCGCGTGCAAAACGAAGGGGAGGAGCCGCATGTTGACAGCAGCGCCATCGAGCGGGCGCCGCAGAACTGTTAGTGTCCATCGCCGCAGGTAGGTGGCAGTACCGTGCAGTATAAGGATCACCGTCGGCGCAGCCAGGAGGAAGTTGGGCAGCTGCCGCAGCCTGTAGTACCGCAGGAAACCGACGTCCCAGTAGTGGTCCTGGAGAAAAGAAAACATGTTTAGTATGAGATACACTGGCAATGTAAAAAAAAAAAACAGGTGAAGTAAAGATCAAAGTCAAGCGCCTTGCTGATGAAACACCTAGGTATTTCAAATGTTCTTACATTCCACGGTGTCATGTAAAATTATACTGCCTCGACTTCGAGTCCCGACTAAGCAACAACTCAGCTCAGTAATCTACCGATAATAGTCAAAATCTGAAAAGCAACTAATCAAGACGAGTACCACAAGATCATATGATGCGTGTCCTTCAGCTTTTCTGATCAACAAATGTCAACCCGCCCCAAGGCCGGGCCAGGACCATTGCAAAACACCCCGTATCTCGCCACCCCCACCTGTATGTATCCATAGGAGAGCGGCAGCGTGTAGTTGCACCACGGCGAGGTCATCGCCCCCGGTCGGACGGCCTCCGTCTCTCGTAGATACCGCTCCACGTGTGGGGCCGTGGGGACGTCTCCGGGCGTGCAGAACAACACAAAGGCAAACAGCTGGTACACGACGAACGCCGTCAGTGCCAGCAGGGAGAGGACGGCCGCCTGCAGCAGCCGTCCCGTGCCGCACAGCGTTATCTGGAGATACAGGGGAGGTGAAGGAGGGTAAGACATCGGGGAAATCGTGCACGATGACCGCACAGACGTAAGCTATGTACAACGGGTAAATACACGTTTCTTGACTGAGAGTGGATACACGGATTACTATAATGGTCAAGTGATACTAGAAATGATTTCCCAATTCCCAGTCACGTTTTAGCAAGCCAACACAATGGCAGGGCTCAGAGACTGCAACCAGCCAGCGGAAATGGTCAATCAACAGCTACTGACTCACCCACACAAGCGATGGCCTCAAAACATTTTCTTTGGTCTTCTTGGGCATCATCATCGCCACCTGTTTATGCAGCAGGTTGTACACAAGGAACCCAATCAGCAGCGTGCCGTTCGATCTGAAAGCAGCATGTCACATACCTAATCAAAATACGTCCTGCTGTGATTTGGGGAGTGAGGACTAGGTAGTTACTTGATACTTGGGTTCCAGATAAGTGAAATGTAGCCCAGCATCAACCCAACATCACCTACAATTAAGCTGTAGTCAGGTTTTGACGAATAAAAAAGTGAAATGCCATTTCACTATAACCATTACAATAATCGAACAGGAAATTGAATCCAAAATAATGAGAAAAAGTCACTAATAAAAAAAAGAAAAACACAATGGCCAGCTTAGAAACTCGTAGCAACACCAGTACCATTCCAGTCACACAACATCCCGGAGTGTTGTGAGTCGCCACCCGCCCCAGACACCTTACTAACCTCGTCACGGCGGCGAAACCGAACGCTGCCGCGGCTCCCCACAGCCTGTCCGTCTCACAGAACAGCATGCCGGTGAACCCGAGACAGGCGAACAGCGACTCCGAGTAGGGCGCCGCCAGGAACACGGTGGCGGGCGACCAGCAGAAGAGGAGCGCGGCCGTGCGTGCGCGCCTCCGGTCCGCCAGCAGACGCGCAGACAGTGCCAGCAGCGCCTGGGCGGCTAGCGCCGACAGGAGAGCGTTCAGAGCCACCGCCGACAACAAGAGAGCGACCGGACGACTCAGCAGACCGGTGGCCTCCAGAGGCACCGCACCGGCTGCCGTCATCAGCGGCAGGCCCGGGAAAAAGGCGAGGGTGGCCTCGTGGGTGTAGCCGTGCTCGGCAATGTGCAGGAAGTACTGGGCGTCCCATCGGTGCAGGCCCCCGAGGAGAGCAGTGGCGAGGGAGTCCAGAGGCGCCGGGGAGGGAGTGGGGTCTCCGTCGGCCGGCTGCGGTGCCACAAACGCGTCCGATATGTGGTCTGGCAGGAGGTGGTTGACCATACACTGGAAGGGAGATACTGGTCACGGCGTTGCTATCAGTGGGAGTTGCTAGCATAGGATGGGGTGACGTGACAAGAACATGACTATTTGATCCAGCTTGAAATTTACATTGGTCAATTCAAATGAAAAGAACATGTATATCTCATATATATTGTCAATGAGGATTTAAGATGATGAAGAACTATTGCCAAAAAAATCATGGAAGGGGTGCAACCCATAAGTTCTAAATAAATTACTAAATCCATACAGCACAAAGCTCATTTGTCTTCTTACCTTGTAGTTCAACATAACAATACAGATGAAAAAGTTATCAAAAGCCCAATTAGAAAACATACTTTACCTGTAGTAAAATGAAGGATGCTCTTATTTGCAAGCTCTGCTTGAATAATGTCAGATCCATTCTTAAGGATGGATACCAATTTCAAGCTTTCATTTCATATCTGAAAAAAATATGCAGCAACTCAAACAAACCAAAATGATGCACCTTGAGTTCCAAAGTTGTTTATTGTCTGATGGTGCTGGTGATAGGCAATGACAATGGAATACTATTTAATGATTGAAGACACATGTCTTATCAAATAATTTGATTACAACTACCTACCTTTTGCACCTTCTGAAGTCTAAGAACTGGAGAAATTCAAAGAATAAAAACATGAAGGGAAAGAACACATCCTTTTAAGCATGAAAAGTGACTCAATACATCAATATTCAATGCTTACAATAATTTTTACACAAACATTTGAAAGCTACACCCAACCACCTATTGAATAAGGGGTACTGGTAAGGCAGATCATGCTATGTCTGCAGTCTGCCTCTCTGATACCGAATCAGGTAAGGTTGATTTATGGTTGATCTAGGTTGATTATATGGCTTATGACAATATGGTGATTGGTGAGGCTTTTTATTTAATTTTGATTTGAGCCCAGGGAGCAAAAGAAACTTCAAAAACTGATGTTAAATTAATATTAATATTTGGCACCTGCGCAGTGCGCTGTCTAAATGATGGATAATAAGGATCACACTTGCACTGGAAACTGTCAGAACTGTTAATTTTTATTAGCATTACAATGTTTACTGCTTTAAAAAATATGAGAAAACATGCCAAAATAATACTCATTACATTGGCAACGCTTTGACGTTTGACTGCCTGACGTTTTGACGCTTAGATAGGCGATAGCTATTAGCTACCTACCAAATTGGTAATGGATTTCATGTGGAATGGTACCTTCAGGACCGTAATATGAAATTAACGCTAAGACCTTACATTTTTGTTGTTATCCACTTACCATACCATAACTTGACCAACAAACGCACACAAAAAAGCGCATTTCTGTGCCGCATGAGATAAGTTTTAGGGCCTTGGCATGAGATGCCGATGCGTCATAACAGAAACTACCGCGTCAAGTTTCGTGAACACTTTTCCTGCCATATCAGCTGTGCTACCATATATGCTTATGGAATTCCTTCAAAAGTAACTAATTACGAGCGAGCGAGCGCAGCGAGCGAAGTGAGTCTTGAATATAACCAGTAGCGGCGGAACACCTTCAATTAAAGGGGGGCACTGCCGACTTTTGGTCCCATTCTTACCACAAAATTAGAACGTACAATTGCAAAGGATACAACCGCGTAGCATACAAAATTGTAAGCTACAAAAAGAGCCGATCGTATCATACAAAAGCGCATTGTCTAAAATCGCAAGGTACAAAATGCCTCTAGTTGCCGCCGAGTGAACTGATATTTAACAAGTCAGCCGCTAGATGGGGTAGTGGTACTGTGGCAGTGTGTTTTTTGGAGGGCACCAGGAAGTACAGTGGAATGCCACTAAGTCCCTAAGAAACACGATACCGATTGCCGCTGCACCGGCCGCCTATCGACGCTGCGGGTGGTCGGAGAGTGCCGAGGGGACCGGTGCCGAGCAGGCAGGAACATGATACCTCTGGACGCTGCACCGGCCGACTATTGACGCTGCGGGTGGTTGGAGGGTGCCGAAGGGACCGGTGCCGAGCAGGCGACGAGGAGAAGCGGGCATGAAGACCGTGAGAAATATATTTTGTTGACGGGCGCGCACATAAGGCAAGCGTGCGTACTGCGTATGTAACAGCCTTATCCTTGATCACACCCACTCTTAACCCGCGCCCTGCTGGCGCCTGGCGGGGGGGAGGGGAGTGTTTGAACACACCCTCCGGTTTGGTTTTTCTCGAATATCTAAAAATGGCTGCGCGGAGCGCCGCCGTTGTTTGCACACCTTATCAATTATCATACATCTTTTCTACACATTCTGTTAGCTTAAATTTTAGACCAAGGTCACCCAAGATCAGGTAACCAGGTCACGTCAGGTGAACATACCTCATAAAAAGTTTGAATGCCTGCCATAGCTTCACCTAGTCACCGATCACTTGAAACTTTCAGCAATTGATAAAACCAACAGTATAACAAAACGCATATCTCGGAATTTGGACATCAGTTAGTTACCTAAGGTCAGGTCAATATGGTGACCTCTCCATTTTAACCCTATTAGTGGCAGGGGGGTTGTTTTCATCCACCCCTCAGGTTTTTCGGGAATATCTCCGAAACCGCTGAAGCTACGATGCTGAAATTTTCTGACTTTTCCTAAAACTAAATTGGGCATATTCCCTGAAAATTTCAAGTTCATAACTTTACCAGGGGCGGCTCCAGAGCACTGGGAATTGGGGGGTCCTATTCGTGGAGCGAGTCATTTGGGCGAAGATCACGATGCTGCACCAGTTTTACGAACAGTGAATGAAAGGTATCATGTGATAACATATACAGTTATTGTGCATCCTCTTTTGACACGTTTTTGCTATAATAGGCGGATCCAGGCGTCCAAAAATGGGGGTTATGTTTTACCTCCCAACATAGGTGCCCTGACACCGCCTATGCATGACCAATACAATTGTAGTCGTTCTCTCATAAGAAAATTGTAACATAACAAGACCATTACCACCCTTTTTAGAAACAGTACCAACAAAAACCTTATTTACTATACTTTTTGTGTACCCCCAATCTCACTGATCTGTATCCGCCTATGATTTTTGAAAATGCATATTTTTAGGATCCATGTGAATTCCTGGTTCATTCTATATCGATCGGCAAAAGTTGCGTTAAGATTGGTTCAGAAACCTGGCCGTGATAAACAGTCTAAAATGTATCTGCAATTTGCCCGTTTTTACCCCCTCTACCCCCCCCCCCTATTGACATTTTTTTATTTTTATTTTTTAGAAATGTAGATCACGTTGAGCGAAATCGAACGCCGTTTGAATTTTGAAAATCGGCCCGTTAGATCTCGAGATATCAAGGGGGGGTCGTAAACAGCCCCCCCTGCCACTAATAGGGGTAGCCAGGAGCCTGCCACTAATAGGGTTAAGCATTAAAGGGACCCTCCCACCTTCAAAAAAGTTTATGAATTGGCTTGAAAGTGATGTCGCTCGGTTCAGAAAGGGCGAAAACGAAGATCTACCAAATTTCACCGAAAAATATTCACCGGTTTTCAAGATATTAGACTTTTACTTTTGTTTACTTTTTGGGATCTCCGCTGTTCCTAGCGACTTTATTTGGAAGCAATAGCACTTGTTGCACGCAAAGCAGCATATACCACCGCGTGCTACAAAACGTTTTAGTCAAACATTTAAAAATCGTTAAGATATCTGCGCTGACTTCACACATTCAGAGGGGTATTCCTATGCATTAGCCCCTCTGAATCAAAATGCTGCAATTTTGAAATTCAATATTTCCGATTTAAGGCATTTCTCGATGTTGTGAGTGCCGAAACCGGTAATTGTGAGCCAGGGACCCCATTTTGGCTATCTTAACTCAAATCTAATGTTAAGGTGGGAGGGTCCCTTTAAATGACGAAAATATTTTTACCCCCCACCGCCTCAGGCGATCACGTGCCGTCAACCACCTGGACCCTACCACCCGTAGGGGGTGGGGCGCTTCGGCTCCCCAGAGATCTTGAAAATTTACCGGCCGATTTTCAAAACTCAAACGGCGTTCGATAGCCCCACCGGGGCTGTCGAACACTACCTTACCTTGTGACTAAATTTCATTGACCTCTGTCTTACCGATGACGTTACACCATTATGATCATAATCACGAGAAATTGCCAAGATTCCGTTCGACATTTGGAAAATTATCGCGAATCGAGGATAGCCATTTGATTGTACAGGCCGGTCACGGATGATATAATTCTAATACTAGGGTAAATCGGGTTATTATCTAATCCATGACAGGGTGTTGACAGTCCCTAATCGATCTTCGTCTTTTATGTGTTTTCATATGATTTTTGGTCATATGCTGTTTTTTGTTCAACACTCAGACATCATGACGTTACAAAAATCTCAATATATCTCCAATATTTTCCGACCGATTTATTTTTGAGTTTTGTCACAATAAACTTCAATTATTTGTTATAGGTACCCAAAGTTTGGTGCGCCATAGCGCGGCGAAAAAAAGTGTGCGCCTGTTATGGGCGGCTATTGGCTCCCGCAAGAAGTCTTTACCCCCCCCCCCCCCAAACAAGTCGCGGGATAGGGGAAGCCGGGGGAAGCCCGGCATAGTAAGCTCTTTTTCATTTTCATTACATACCTTGCGTGCTGTATAAAATGTTGATATCCAGTTAGCTATATAAGTTAACTGGCCGTGTTTCCCCAAAAAACTCGGTTTTGTGGAAAAGTATATAGTTGCGAAATTCGAGTTTTAAAAAAGTATTGATTTTTCTGGGGTAACGCCGGCATAAGGGTAACCCCGGCCACCACTCCAGCGCTTTACAACGAGTTGATGAAGCCTTTATGTGACTTTAAAATCTTGACGGAAAGTGAAATATTAATGCAATCTGAATCGCTGCTACTTTTTACAAGACCTTCTACTCGTCGTTGTTCTTTGCTTTCAGCGACTGATCCCCTAGTGATGACTATCCTCAGTCCTCACGCAAGATAGGATGAATGGAGCTAGCAATTAAGCCCTTGATTAACCCGCGCGGGGCTGGGGGGGGTAAATTTTACCCCCCCTCGCGAATTTTTGCGATATCTCAAAAACGGCGGCGCGCAGCGCCGCCAAACTTTCAGTACCTTTTCTTACATCAATTTGACACGTTCCCTGAAAATTTGAGCGAAATCCGTCGGAAATTTTTTGAGAAATTGACGTTTTAGTGACGTCATGTTCGCCATTTTCGCCTCAAAAACGGCAAAAGTTCAAACGCCGCTAACATCTTCATTTTTAAAGGAATCAAGACGTAACAAAAAAGGTTATACGTAATTTTACTTTGTCTATCAAATGGATATCTCGGTTTTTTGAAAATTTTGGATTTTGGCCTAAATTTTTTCAAAAAACTGACTTTTTTGGGAAAATCATTATAAAATCCAAAATTTTGAGTCTATCGAAAAAACCGGAATATATGTCAGAGAAATGGTCTATGTGCACCTACATACCAAATTTTAGAAGAATCGGTTCAAAAATGTGGGAGTTATTCAAAATTTTATGACGTCACGACACACAAATTTTTTGAAAAATGACTTTTTTGGAAGTTCTAGACCTCGTACGGAAACAAAAATAGCACCATTCGATTCGCCGTGAAAAACTGCATCAGATAGACACCTTTTTAGGCCTTAACAACCAACTTCAAAATTTGACCTCACTTGACCTGACCTTGACCTGACCTCGACCTGAAATTCATCCAGAGGTGGTCCATATCACTTATTGAGTGTGCCTATTGAATTCTATGAGTAAAATGACCCATAAAACATGTGTCGCACATGCCCTTTTCTATATTTTGTTTTTTGGTGACCTGACCTGACCTGACCTGACCTTGACCTTGACCTCTGAATGATATTGTATGCAACGAATATTGTCTTGGTAGCCTAAGAACACGTTTTGGGCGATCAGTCTCAGTCCATGACTCCATTCTTCGGCAACTACGGTGCAAGGCCGATACTGTAGAAACTTGCAATTTGTACCCTTGACCTGACCTTGACCTTGACCTCAAACTTAAAATTAAGTACATGTTTTTAGTAGTTCGTGATGAGAGCTTTCGATTGGCGTTTGAATTTTCCAAATCGGACCATTAGTTCGGGAGATAACAGGGGGGGGGGGTAAAATTTACCCCCCCCCCCCAGCCCCGCGCGTTCGGCTGGAGACCCCAGCCCCGCGCGGGTTAAGCCCAAAAAACATATCGAAAATGTTACAAAACACTTCTTTTGAAGGCGATGAATTGAACGGTTTTGGAGCCTCACGAAACATGTTTCAGATATGACGCGTCAAACAAACTGACGCATAAAGACTGTGTTCAAAAGTGTGAGCGGCAGCTCCGAAAGCACTTTTTGCAAATGAAAATCGTAGGTACTGCCCGGTCGCCATAGCAACAAGTAA